TCCGCGTAAGTCCTTCTCCAGTTGTCCGTCTTCCAATACCTGCTGATCAAGGGAATAACATCCATTCCCCTATCCCGTAAGTGTGCAAACGCATGTGAGCATGGAAACCGATATTCCTGCCAGTTTTTGCACTCGCACAATCTCTCTCCCACATCATTGTTGAAGGAGAGAGGACGTTGATCCAGAACGCTCCCCTTGTTCCGAACCCTTGCCTTGTTTGGACCGTTGCGGGTGACTCTGTAACCACGGCTTCGGTTCTTTTTCAGCTCGAACCGCGTCTCAGCTTCGACCGTCAGTGCATGCTGCCAGTTAGAAGACTTCCGATGCCCATCCGAGTACATCTTTGCCATCCAATCCCACATGCCCGCCATTACATAGGAAACAGGCAAGATACGGATCTTCTTGATAGCGTTGTTGGTGGACTCCACCATTTGGCTGCTGTAGATGCCAAACCGACACGTGGGGGCATAACACCGTGCCCATTGCTTGATGAATACAGTGATTTTTTTTTTCCTCTTATATCTCGGTGCATCCTGACCCGTGCGAACAACAATGTTCGCCCCTTCCTCCATGTTGTCACTGTCCTCCCGTTGAGCATCCGCACTGCCCAACCCCACCAATCCCGTGTCTTCTGCGTGGTTGACGTCCGTGGCCGAATCGGCTTCGTTGGCCCGACCCATGGCAGGGGAAACACCCTGCTGCGATGTTGACCGACGGACAGTTTGGCTCCCTTGCGTTGGCAGCTGTGCTGCAGGTGATTCGGCGCGTTCTAGCCCTCTTGCACTTCCCTCTGTTGCATTCCGCCTTCCCCTTATAATCTCCATCCGCTGTTGGCGTCTCATGGCCGCTTGCTGCGTTGCTGTGGTGGATAGCCGTTGAGTTGTAGTAGTGTTGGCTTGAGAGCAGTGGCCCATGTCTGTACACTCCTCAACCTCATCATCCTCCGGTTCCTCCCCGCAGCTGATTTGGCTCCCATCCTCCACGTCGAACTGCTCCATGAATACTTCTTTGGTATCTGCCTCCGCCTGACTGTCGGACATGGTTGTAAGCATATCTCCCACATTCTCGCCTGCCAACGAAGGGAGCTCGGATGGTGTTGCTGTCACATGATCAGATGGATGCACGTTGTCGACAGCCGCCGATTTAGGCCGTAGGTCACAAGGGCGGTCACGAGTATGATTCGCAGTTGGCATGGGTCTGAACCCATGGTCCCTATGGGGCTGCTGAGATGGCTGCTGCTGAGATGATGGCTGCTGGGATGGTTGCTGATGAAGTGGTGGCTGCTGATATGGTGGCTGCTGAGATGGTGGCTACTGGCATGGTTGCTGCTGAAGTGGTGGCTGCTGATATGGTGGCTGCTGAGTTGGTGGATGCTGAGATGGTGGCTGCTGAGATGGTGGCTGCCGAGATGGTGTCTGCTGGTCTCCCCTGCGACCACTCCTCCTTTGCCGCCACACTTCCATCCTTGCCATTCTGGCTCGTTTTGCCGCACCCGTCCGGCTCCGTAACCCATCCCCGCCCTCTGGCTCCCTTGCACGCTGGTCGGCTCCCCGTCTGCCACGGGTCTGCTGCACACGGGCCTCTTCGACCCCAAAGAGGTAGTTCGCCATTGCAGCACACTCGGCCCGGCATCGCCTCACGAGTTTGCCAAACTTCCGCTTCGTGCGGCAGTTTGCGAGCTTCTTGAAGAGTTCAGAGGCGTTAGGGCCAAACTTCAGCACATTCTGCTCCAAATGCCAGCTGCAAAAGTAGTGGGGGAACTGGGATGGGAACAGTTCTTTAACCGCCGGTATTAACCCTTTATCACGATCACTGATAAGGGAGGCATCGTGGGTAGCCGGCCACGAAGGAAAATGCGTCAACAACTTCTCACAAAACCACTTCCAACTGTCTTTATTCTCGCTCTCGCATAGACCGAAAGCGAGTGGAACAAGCTGGTTATTTCCATCTTTAGCAGCCGCAACCAAGAGCGTAGCCCGCTGCGCCCGAATGAGAAATGTACCATCCATGCCAATGACCGGTCGGCAGAACCTTAGAGCAGTTTTTGATGCCGATGGGGCGGCAAAAGCCCGGAAGAAAGCGTGATCCTCCGTCACAAGGTCGAGCGTTGAATCAGGGTCAATCTCTCTGAACCGTTCCAACACCCGAGGAATGTAGCGGAAAGAAGTTTTCCAATCTCCAAAGCGCTCCTTCAGCATCCTTTCCTTGAGCCTACTATGAGGGATGACGATGTGCGAGAAAAGATAGGCACGTTGAGAAAACAGAAGGTGAATGGTGTGCTTAAGAATGTGTATGTGACAATGGAAGCGATATGGAGAGAATGTTTCGAGACGTACCGCCATGATTGGTGATAATTGATATCCGGACCACCGGTTGACGCAATCTGATCCTTGTACGTCCCGGGAGGGTGATGTGGTGCAGCATGGACAAGGTTGCCATGATGACGCTGCAGATATGACACTTTATTTGTTGTATGCTTCACGTAGCGATCCCGATCAACGGGTGAGCAGCAATGAGATGATGGGGCGGACAGTTTGTCAACACGCCAAAACCCACCCACACCGTCAGTGGAGTACTCACACCGCCACCTGCACGCTGGTTTAAGACGCTCATGTTGACTCATGCATATGGCGTGGACTCTGTTTCGCCTACTCCTCATAACCCTAAATCCGAAGTTGCAAGCTACCGAATAGTCTTCTAGTGCTTCGTACAAAAATTGCTTAGACGAGTATAGTTGACCTTCACACAACGAGGCTCGATCGTCTATCACAATGTGTGGCGAGCGGTCCTCGTCGACGACCATTTCCCGGAGCAACGAACGGTACATATCACTTTTTTTGGGCTCTCCAGTTCCAACGAAGCAAAACTCTGTATCTTCATCGCCTGAGTCGGACTCTGTGTTAGAGGTGTAAGACATCGAACCCATTGCGGCTAATAGGAACGTTCAAGCCGGAAAAGCTCCTAGAAGAACCTCCTGTAAGGACCTAAGTGGTCTAATCGAAGGCAAGGGTAGATGTCAACCCTAAAACAACGAGGAAATGGTGTGAGCGATCTGTAGCATATGTTTCTAATCATAATGCGCGGGAAGATGATACAGGCGTACCAAACTGAGTTTGAGCGTTTTAATTTGAACCTAATTGGCCAGAGTTTATGTTTGTGCGAGTGTTTTTAGAATATGATTGGCGAGATCATAAAGTAAATTGAGTTATTGGCGCGGTCAAATATGGTTGCAATTCTTAATGATGGCACCTGATTGGACGTGTAATGCCAACAATTGCACCGAGCATATCATTGACGAATCATGCGCGGTCGTTAGGGCTGTTGCGGTTTGATGCTGATCAATTGAGGTTTATGATCGCGGATTTATATGCTCGAGCGCTTATTGGTTCCGAATTTGTTTGCCCGCGCGCTCATTGGTCGCGCATTGGGGCGAAAATGGCCGCGCATATACTATTGGTCGGGCCACGTTCGTGCCCGCCAACCACCCGAAATTTTCGGGTGGGGAATAATACGAATCACTACCGCGGGATGAGACTCGTGCGAACGAGGAATTTCGGGGATACAAACCCTGGTAGGGTAATGTGCCAGAGAAAAAGAACCCCTCGAAAATGCCCTGGCGTGGCCACTCGAGCAATTATCACTGAATTTGATGGCCACTCGAGCAATTCGGGGACACGTGGGCAAGAGCGAATCACCAAACAAGGCACTGGAGCAAATCTCTCTCATCCACCTCGATATGGCTCCTTGCGTCTGGTGGAGCCAGTTCGAAATGGCAGAGGTTTTCCCGTACCTGAGGTCTGGTTCACCAAACCTACAACCGCCCTCCAAGCAGCATTGAGCCGAGAGGCTGTCGTGCCATTCATCCTACATGGCTGCTGTACAGCCTGGCTCAGGCGTGCGTGTGGCGGTTACTAGCCCACATCAACCATCCCACCCAAGATACGCGATCGGAAACCGCCAAGTGTGTTTTCCCGCCTTCTGCCGCTTGGGGACCTCAGAACCCTCCAGAAATATTGGACACAGGCCCTTCGCCGGGCGAATGAGCTGAGCAATCCTCGCCAAACACTCGGAAAGCGAGCCGAAAGTGGCGATCTTCTTGAGGCTGTTCAGCCAATCATAGCGCTGTTTTCTCGCTCTTCGTCATCCTTCCCCATCCAAATCCAACGGAGGAAAAGGGTAGTGCTACGTCAGCAACGTCGTATGTGACGTTCAGGATAAGGTCTTATCGCACAAACGAACAAGAACTGACGGTATAGATTTGTTGATGACGCAAGCGCGTGGGAGACGGTGATGTGATCACGCGTGTGAGTGCGTCACTTTCGCTGCAAGTGACTGGACAGAGGCGTGTCACGTTTCCACTGTTCAGAGGCCATGTTGCGGTGCTGTCTCCTTTCCTGAGAAATCACCGAGGGCAGCAACAAACAGCAGCACTCCTCCCCCTCTCCCCTCCAATTCTCCTCGCCGCGCGTCTCGTGGCATCCAAGCAGATCCGAGTCCGACCAGGCCTGCCTGCCTATGCCTGCCTGCCAGAACTGTGAGCAAAGGGGGCTCGCTGGGGATGGAGACAATTGTGTTTTTTTGGTTGGTCGCTCGGTTCGCTCTAATCACGTCCTCTACTCGCGAGTTCCTCTCGCCATCTACACTCGTGTGAGAGGAATTGGGTTGCCCCCCTACCCCACCTCAGCCAAGTTACCCCCTTGGCGGCGCTTGTTGGTGGTTGCTTTGGGCAGAACCAGACTGGAGGCCTGTTCATGAACATGTAGCTGATCATTAGAAGCTCTCTTGATCATTTGTGCTTGATTGCTTCCCGCACCCGCTGCTGTTCAGCTCCGCACCTGTCGTTGTGCGACGTAGTGTAACTGGGATTGGTCTCCGCAAAACCCTCACCCTCGAATGGCCAATTAACAAAAGGAAACCACAGCCTTTAACTCCTCACACGATCGCATTGCCTGATTCGCACTAGTAACGCTGCTCGTGCGATTTAGATCTGAAAGAAGAGAATGAGTTGCAACGGATGTAGGGTCCTTCGGAAGGGATGCAGCGAGAGCTGCGTGTTGCGCCATTGCTTGGGGGGAATCGAGGGCGCGGAGGCACAGGGCCATGCGACGCTGTTCCTCGCCAAGTTCTTCGGCCGCGCGGGTCTCATGGGCTTCGTCACGGCCGTCGACGAGGCTCAGCGCCCAGGTACCCAATTGGCCCATTGTTTCCCGCGTTTGTGCCAAGCAGCAGCGAATTCCGGCGCTGCGATTGGATTCAGTCCAGCGACTTGGCTTCGGTCTCCCCTGCTCATGCTCTCCGTCTCGCACCGCCTCTGAATTGCTCGTGTTGAAATCCTCCAGACTCCAAACTGGTCACGCTGCATTTTCTTAATTGCGGTCTGATTTCACACCAAGGTCTCATCTTTCCCTAGCGTCTCGCGTTCTCGTTCAGAATCATCACGAAAACCGTTCTGGTGCCTGTCATTCCCCCGTTCCCCATTTCCGCCACTCCGCCTCTCCGCCGCTCCGCCTGGCAGCGCTTTTCCAGTCGCTGCTGTTCGAGGCGTGCGGGCGAACCATCAACCCGGTCTTCGGCTGCGCGGGGCTGCTGTGGACGGGCCAATGGCACCTCTGCGAGTCCGCCGTCGATACCATTCTCCGAGGCGGCTCCATCCACCCCAACGCCAACGCCAGCGCCGGCGCTAACGGCGCCGCGCCAGGAAACCTAACAGCCGCCGCAGCGGTCGCTGCAGCAGCGCCTCCGCAATCCTCCGCGCTGCCCTCCGCGGGAGTGACGCTGCCGTCGTCTGGGTCCGTCGTGATGGTCCCCACCCCCCCGTCCGCGCCCGCCACGTCCGGAACGACCTCCGGAACCACCGCCGTCGCCGGCGCAGGCGCGTCCTCCCCTCCGCTCCCCGTCGCTGGCGCCCCGGGGTTGGCTAACCACCGCCTTGGGATCTCCGCGTCGCCGCTTCCGGCGCTTCCGGGCGCGACGGCCGCGTCCGCGGCATCGTCGATGGTGCCTTTCGGAATGCACCCGGGACACGTGCAGCACTTGCAACAGCAGCAGCAGCAGCAGCAGCAGCAGCAGCAGCAGCAGCAGCAGCAGCAGCAGCAGCAGCAGCAGCAGCAGCAGCAGCAGCAGCAGCAGCAGCAGCAGCAGCAGCAGCAGCAGCAGCAGCAGCAGCAGCAGCAGCAGCAGCAGCAGCAGCAGCAGCAGCAGCAGCAGCAGCAGCAGCAGCAGCAGCAGCAGCAGCAGCAGCAGCAGCAGCAGCAGCAGCAACAACAACAGCAACAGCAGCAACAACAGCAACAACAGCAGATGATGCATCTACAGCACATGTATGCCGCTCAGTCGATGTACCAACCGGCAAGCGCGGCCATGTACCAGCAGACCATGGGGAACGTCGCGATGGGCTCCGCTGCAGCGGCAACGGCGGCAGCCATGGATATGATGCAGCCCGCCGCCGCCATGGCCTACTGGCCTTCCGCCGCGCCAGGCCCGCCGCCTTTTCCGGGTCTTTCCGCCGTGCCTGGGGCCACTGCGCCCGGACTGGCCCCCGGGATGATCGGCGCTGCGGTCGCGCCGCCTGCGCCGGGGATGATGCACGGAATGACGATGGCCGGGATGCAGCCAATGGTGTGCGGCCAGGTGGCAGGGATGGGTCAGTCTCCGTACATGGCGGCGGGCCAGCCGGGGGGATCTGCGGCTGAGGCGGCGGCGGCGGCAGCGGCGGCGTATCAACGGGCGCTGTACCAGCAGCATTACGCGCAGCCAGCGCATGCGCATGCGCATGCGGCGGCGCAATCGGCGCAACAGCAGCAACACCAGCAGCAGCAGAGTCAGCAGCAAGACGCGAACGCGCAGCAATCTCAGGACCAACAACAACGGCAGCAGCAGCAGGCGGAACAAGATGCCGCGCAAGCGCAAGAGCAAGCCAACTGCGCGGGAGTACCCTCCGCGCTCGGCGCGCGTGCGTTCTGTCCCCCGACCACCACCGCCGCGGATCCCCGCTCCGCCGGGTCGTGCGCGGGCGCGCGACTCACGGGCAGAGGCGCAGCTTCCCCGGGCGCTGGTGGACCTGGTGGCGCGGGGCTTTCCGCCAAAGCCCCCGCGCACATGGGGTTCGGCGGAGGCGCCTGGGCGGCGAGTTACGGGGGAATAGGCGCTGGGGCAGGGGGCGGAGGCGGCGCAGCGATGCTCAACGGCGCAACTCCAGTGGGGGGCATGTGGGAGGCCGCCGGGGGAAGCAGCGCGTTCGCAATCCCCATCCCCGCGGCGTTCCAACCGCAGCCGTTCGCGAAAGCGGGGCTGCTGGCCCCGGCGCGTCTGTCCGGATCGACGGTGTGCCAGGCGCAGAGCCCGTCGGGGTGCCTGTCGCCCGTCACGAGCGGCACCAGCGGGACGAAAACGAGCCGCAGCCCCGAGGAGACGAGCCCCTGCGGCAGCCCTCCGCTGGTTGCTCCGGTTGCGCGGCGGCCGAAGCTGGTGCACTCGCCGATTTCCGCGGCTGCACGATTTGTGCCTCGCGGAGCTGGAGTTTCCGTCCCCCGCACGGATTTTGCGTCGGGTGCGGTTCCCACCACCACCCCCTTCTGCTAGTGCGCTTGCGATTTGCCCCCTTCTTCGTTTTCTTCCGCCTTCTGTGAGCCGCCACGTCCCTTCGTTTCAATCTAGAATCGTTCCAACCCTAATTGCGTTGCATTTGCCGGTATCATCTGCAGCTTTTTGTCTGACATTTAATGCTTCCATAGAACTGTGCTCACTGTAATGCCTCAGTGCCCTAGGCAGGGCACCCTCCACTAAGTTTTTCTGTGGTGGACTGGTTAGCTGACGCCCTATTTTTCTTATTTTCGTCTGTGATGCAGGTGTGGGAGCGGGTGGTGAGTGGGAATCCATGGGCTCCCCAAGTGCTGCAGAGGTGCTGGACGGACCTCCTCCTCTCGCTGCATGCTCCGCTGCTGCTTCAGATGATAGCAGGAGCAGCAAGCGGCAACTGCAACAGCAACAGCAGCAGGAGCATCAGGAGCAGCAGCAGCAGGAACACCAGCAGCAGCAGCAGCAACAACAGCAGCAGCAGCAACAGCAACAGCAGCAGCAGAAAGAGGAGAGGTCAGGGGGACTGCTTCAGCTGCTGTAAGTCACGTGCAGTCTGCTGCTACCGTAACTCCATCTGCGTTTTTCGGGCTTGCAGCCCTCCGCAGAGATATTGACATTCTCCAAGACAGCCAGGGACTTCTAGTAGGATCTTGCCTTCGCTGACACCGCATGCACAATGTTTTGTGGTACAACCCTTGTAGAAGTTTTTTTTGGCTTGATCAATCTGGTATATATTGGAACAACCAATTTTTGCACCTCTAACGGGCTGCGTTTTGGTGTAGCGATGCAATTGGGTTTTATTTCAACGTACCATTTGTGACATGCGGGATCGTCTAGGCTAGAAGCTGCCACATTTGGGGAGGCTGAAACACGGGACCGAAAGCTGCAGTGGTGCAGCGTGGTTGACGTTTGAACAAGTCCTTCACAACCTTCCATGTGCCACGTCTCACACCCATGTGACTTCACGCCTCGGTTTTACCGACTCTCGGGACTGTTCAGAACTTGACTGGCAAAGAATTCGCGTACAATCACGCGGTCCTCGGTAGTTACAGCTGCTGCCTGACATCCCCTCCCTGCTGGACTCCTCTCTATTGAGCCTGCTCTGGGAATTAGTGGCAGTAGTCTGCAATGTCTCGGTATGTCGCTGCCGCCCAGGCTGACAGGACTCTGAGCTCTCGCGAAAGTCGCCAAACCTGACGATTGCACCGCAATTTCTGCCAAGTAGGCCTTCGACTCCGATTAATCACGAATAGTTGCGAAATTACAATCTCTGCTCCATTCGGACACAATTGTCTGCGAAAGCGACACTTGATCCGATCCAAACACCAGACTCTTTTAGACTTCGCATGAACTAGAGGACAATAACGGAGGATAGAGGGAATTGGTGTAGCAACCCCGAGGCAGAAGAAGTGTTGTATCGCCGAGTCTAGAGGGCGTTGGTATTGCGGAGGTTAGGGGGAGTTGGTTAGGGTTCGCAGGGGGATCAGAGGGGGACAGTAAAGCCCGGCGCGATGGACGATCGCACCAAGGGCCTGGTGCTGGCGGTGACGTCCAGCGTGTTCATCGGCAGCAGCTTCATTGTCAAGAAGAAGGCCCTCCGCATGTCCGCCGTCTCGGGCATCAGAGCTGGTGCGTGCCACGCCCTCTGGGTGGGTGGGGACGAGCGGTGGGTGGGATGGGCAATGGGTGGGGACGGCTGGTGGGTGGGATGGCTGGTGCTGGCGGTGACGTCGAGCGTGTTCATCGGCGGCAGCTTAAACGTCAAGAAGAAGGCCCTCCGCATGTCCGCCGTCTCCGGTATCAGAGCTGGTGTGTGGGACGGTCGTTTGGGTGGGACCAGCGGTGGGTGGGAAGGGTGGTGGTTGATGGAGCTGGGTGTGAGATGCGGTGAGGCAAGGTTTAGCGCATGTGGCTTGAAGATGAGGTCGTTGTCTGATCTGAGGCCATGCCGCCTGATGGCCTACAAATTGCTGACTTGATTGCTTACGTCGTGGCTGTGTACAGCTTTTGAGAGCATGCGCTGACGCACGTGATGTATGGATGCATGGGTGCCTGCATGGATGGATGGATGGTCCATGCATAAATTCATGGTGCCTGCATGAATGGATGATGCATGCATGAATGGATGGTGCATGCATGAATGGATGGTGCGTGCATTGACGCATGGTGCATGCATGAATGGATGGTGCATGCATGAATAGATGGTGCATGCATGAATGGATGGTGCATGCATGAATGGATGGTGCATGCATGAATAGATGGTGCATGCATGAGTGGATGATGCATGCATGAATGGATGGTGCATGCATGAGTGGATGATGCATGCATGAATGGCGCCTGCATGGATAGATTGTGCATGCATTGATGCATGGTGCCTGCATGGATGGATGGTCCATGCATGAATGGATGGTGGCTGCACGGTTGGTGATGCATGCATGCATGTGCAGGCATGGGAGGTCATTCATACCTCAAGGAGCCATTGTGGTGGGTCGGAATGATATTCAGTGAGTTCCCTGCCTCCTCTCACAACCCCGTCGCCGCTCACCCCATTCCACCTCCTCCCACCGCTCTTGCTCTCTGCTTCCCACCATCATCCCTCACATGCCCTTCACATGCGCCCCTCGCATGCACCCCTCGCCTGCACCCCTCGCCTGCACCCCTCGCCTGCACCCCTCGCCTGCACTTCTCGCATGCACCCCTCGCGTGCGCCCCTTGCGTGCCTACCTCGCATGCACCCCTCGCATGCACCCCTCGCATGCACCCCTTGCATGCACCCCTCGCATGCACCCCTCGCATGCACCCTTCATCCTCCCTCCTGTGACTTAGCCCCTCCCTCCATCCTTTGCCCTTTCAGTCTAATACTAGCCCGCTTGACTCTTCCACTTCCTTTTTGCTCCGTTTTCCCCATGCACTTCCATGGGACCACGTGACAGTACCCCAAGTAATTCTGTGGCCATTCGACCACCCATGTGCCAATGCGACTACGCATCCCCTTTGCGCCCATGCCCCTTTGTGCCCATGCCCCTGTCATGCCCCTGTGCGCCCATCCCCCATGCGCCCATGCCCCTGTGCCCCCATGCCCCCCTATCCGCCAGTGGTGTTGGGAGAGTTTGCCAACTTTGCAGCATACGCCTTTGCCCCAGCCATCCTCGTCACACCACTGGGCGCCCTCAGCATCATCATCAGGTGCCCTCATCATCATCATCATCATCATCATCATCATCATCATCATCATCATCATCATCATCATCATCATCATCATCATCATCATCATCATCATCATCATCATCATCATCATCATCATCATCATCATCATCATCATCATCATCATCATCATCATCAGGTGCCCTCATCATCGTTGCCTTCTTGTCATTCTGTCATTGACCGTAGTCCATCCTGTGCGTCCCTCCTCATTGTATCCTGTCTCCCACTTCACCTTTCCTCCCCTCGACCCTCCCCTCCACCTCTCCCCGCTTTCCCCTCCCACCCTCCCCCCACCTGTCCAGCGCCATACTAGCGCACATACTCCTTGGTGAGAAGCTGCGCGTGCTGGGGTGGTTGGCTGATGAGGCACCTCTTTATCCCTCCCCCTCTTCGCATTCCCTCCCGTCCCTCCTTCCGCCCCCATCTGCAGCGCCATACTAGCGCACATACTCCTTGACGAGAAGCTGCACGTGCTGGGGTGGTTGGGGGCGACGCTGTGTGTGGTGGGCTCGATAGCCATCGTGCTGCACGCCCCTCAGGAGAAGGACATTGATAATGTCAAGCAGCTCTGGGCGCTCGCCACTGAACCAGGTAGATGTAGGACGGCTTGGCACTGTCCAGTCTGGGGTAAGTGTGGGGTGTTGTGCTGCACGCCCGTAGGAGAATGACATTGACAACGTGAAACAGCGTGCCATCGAACCACGTAGGAATGCTCGGCACTGCTCAACCACGAAAGAATGCTCGGCACTGCCGAACCAGGTAAGAATGCTCGACACTGCCGAACCAGGTAAGAATGCTTGACACTGCTCAACCACGTAAGAATGCTCGGCACTGCCGAACCAGGTAAGAATGCTCGGCACTGCCGAACCAGGTAAGAATGCTCGGCACTGCCGAACCAGGTAAGAATGCTTCGCATCGCCGAACCAGGTGGGGCACTCGCTTTGGCTGCTGTGAGGCCTGATGCATGTGGCATCGCCTGGTGCCCAGTCACTACACCAGTGCCTCCTCTGCAGCCTGCCTCGTCTAGTTGCCTCCTCCCTCAGGACTACGTTCCGTTGCGCTCCCTGCCCCCCATGCCCTCCTCCCCGGCACAGCGTTTGTGAGCTATTCAGTGATGGCGCTGGCGCTGAGTGTGTTCCTCGTCTTTATGCTGGCGCCACGCTACGGCTCCACCAACGTCCTCGTGTACCTCGCCATCTGCTCGCTGCTCGGCTCCATCTCTGTGAGCTCTCTCCTTGAGCCACCTCCGTGAGTGCACCTCGCTTGTCCCCCGTCTCCCGTCTCCCCCGTGTACCAACGTCCTCGTGTACCTCGCCATCTGCTCCCTGCCAGTGCCTGACTCTTGTCAGCATCTTGTGCCACATGTGCTGCCACTGCGGCATGTCCCTGCGTGTGTCCACTCTGTGTTCTTGCGTGCGTGTGCCGCCAGGTGGCGAGCTGCAAGGCCCTAGGGATTGCCGTGAAGCTGACCCTGTACGGAGACAACCAGCTCTTCTACCCCGAAACCACCTTCTTCGCCGTCGCCCTCACCGCCTGTGCTGTCACGCAAATCAACTACCTCAACAAGGTGTGTGCGCCTCGAATGGCCCAAGCCCTGGATCCGAACCACCTTAACAAGGTGTGCGAGCTGACTGCTCAGCCAGGGATCACAGCTGGTTCTCACCGTATGGTGTTCAACATGGCAGTGCTGACGGCCATCGTATGTCATTTTCACCGCACTGAATCTCGTGTGATGCTTCAGCTCCTTGCCTGTCGTCCGCGCTTTCCCCCCTCCTCCTCATTCCCCTCCCTCTTCCCACTCCCTTCCCCAGTCACTAGACACGTTCAACACAGCAGTGGTGACCCCCATCTACTACGTGATGTTCACAACGCTCACCATAGTGGCGTCGGTCATAATGTACAAGGACTGGGCGGGGCAGACGGCAGAGCAGGTGCTCATGGAGTTCTGCGGCTTCCTCACCATCCTCATCGGCACCTACCTGCTCCACGCCACCAAGGACTTTGCTGGCGATTCCTCCCGCCTGCACCTCTTCGACCCCTCAGCCCGTAAGTTCTCTCTTTCCCTCTGCCTGTACATGCTTTCCCATCCCCTCCGCTTGTACGTGCTCTTGCTTCCCCTCTACTCCCGTGTGCCCTCTCTTCCTCACCATCCTCATCGGCACCTACCTGCTCCACGCCACCAAGGACTTTGCTGGAGACTCCTCCCGCCTACACCTCTTCGACCCCTCTGCTCGTACGTGCTCTCCCTTCCCCTTCTCTCCCGTGTGCTCTCTCTTCCCCACGTCCCTCACTATAGTGCAGCACCGCTGTTTTTTCTTCTTCTCTTCTCCCTGTATGCCCCCTGATTATCACCTTTTTCTCATCCTGCGCCCCTGCACTCCCTCACAGGAGCCACTCCTTCCAAGAACCCGGCAGCCCTCAAAGGGCACATAGGGCTGGGCATCATGCCGTCAGGGGGCTCCAAGGATGATAAAGACGACCTTGACCCCGAGGCCAAACCACTTCTGTGACCCGTGCTTGGCTGCTCTGCATTGCCGCATGACATGCATGATTTGTTTCATATAGATCTTGTTTATTCTGGTGGTGTATTGTGGTTGCTTTTCAGTCCACCAATATCTCAAAGGGGCCCTGAGAATGTTGATTTTTGCACAATAGCTGAAAATTAGCTTCAGGCCAAGGTTTGTACTCCAAGAGGGGTATTAGCTTTACATGTGGTTGCAACAGTAATGTACAGATTGTAGCTAGATCCCAGAATGTACACTTGTTCGGTAGACTTTTTATCGCAACTTCACATTATCCACGACCTCGTCCGACCTTGCACCGAGGTTTCTGTTTCCCTCCAAAAATTTCAAATGTTCGCTCTGACGGAACTTGCCAGGGCCTTTGTCAGCTAATCCCCGCCTCTCCCTGGTGATCTAAACCTCATCGCTTCGAGCCTCCTGTGAGTGAGGTACCATGCTTGGCTTGGGATGGAAATTGGCGGAATTCAGCCGCCATGACGGTGGGAGTTCCCTTGGTTTCTTCTTTCAGTTTGGAGTCTCGTGGGGTTAGTTGAGAGCGGGATGAGACATCGTGGGGTTACTTGAGAGCGGGATGAGGCAGCTCCTTGGTTTCTCCTCGGCGGAATCAACCAAATGTTCTACTTGCCTCCACTTGTCGCTTCCTTCGCTCCACTTGCACTATCTTTCAGGCCTGCCGTTTTCTTATCTCCGATCTGGCTCCCTCTCCAGCATTGTCAGCTGCTGGTCGCACTATCCTCTAGTTCACTCGCATGGCTGCACTTGAGGTCAAATCATAGTTATATTTGCCGCGACTTCGTCTGGCAATCAATGATCATATGAATGACAGTTTAGCCGAATGTAGTGAGGACGTTGTCAAGTCGTGGCGGATTGGGATTCCAAGTCAAGAAGGTATCGTACGTCAGTTCAACTGGATCTGATCCTGCGGATATGACGTTAACATGCTAGTCTAGACGGCGTTCCAGTTGAGACGGATAGCAAGCCGTCATGCGAGGTCTCGTCGCCAAGGCAACGCCGCCGCTGCTTCCAGCGTCGTAGCCTCTGCTTCCGCCGTGAATGCAGCGTCGCTGCTGTTTTCATCATCAACGCGACGTAGCCTCTATTTCCGCCAATAATGCAAAGTTGTCGCTGCTGTACCCGCCGAAGCTTAGCTGCTTGTTCCGCCGGAAAAGCACCGTCTTAGCTGCTCTTGGCGTCGAAGCTTACCAGCAACGGCGCTGATGTTTCGTCGTCAACGCTAGGTCGCTGCTATTTCCGCGATAGATCGACGACGCTGCTGTTTCCGCCGTCAAAGCGACGGAGCTGCTGTTTCTGCCGTCAAAGCGACGGAGCTGCCGTTTCTGCAAGCGACGGAGCTGCTGAATCCGTCGTCAAAGCGACGGAGCTTCTGAACTCCCCCGTTAAAATACCGTCACTGCATTTTCCGCCATCACTCGAAGTTGCAGACCGGCCTTGACCTTGTAAGTGCGATGGGAAGAGCTTTCATCGGGGGTGAGCAGAAATCAGGGGATTAAGCGCAGAGTTTCAGTCTGACATCCCTTGCGCTAGTCTCCCCCTCCTTCCTAGCGAACCTAACCAACTATTTCTTCTTGTCTCTGTTTCTGTTTATGGCAGGCACGCGTGTGTCTGCTTGCGTCTGCCTCATGGTCTCCTCCAGGCCCGCGCGTGAGTGGCGGAGCGATCCATCAGTGTGCAGCATCAGTGTGTTTCAGGAGCGTGCGAGTCAAAGGCAGCGACGCGGTGGCGATCGCAACGAGAGCAAAGACTGCAGCAGCAGCAGCAACCGAGCAACCAGGGGCACCACGACTCAAGTGACGGAGCGGCAGAGAGGCAGAGCGGCGGACGGAGCGCGGTATGTGCCAGGGGGTGCTTGCAGGGGGGCAATGAAGTGAGTCGTAGGGCGTCGCTGCGCAGAGGCAAGAGTCGTGTCTGTTGCCCTTGCCTCCACCAGTCGCCTCCTGCTGCTTCTTACCCTTCCTCGTTGCACCGCTTCTGTGTGCGTGTCCTTCTTCCCGTGCGTGTGTGTGTCTCACGGCCTGCGAGACGGATGGGAATGGCAGGTAGTGGACGGGGAATGGACGGGGCGCCGTTGCTGGCTCGCACGAGAGACAATCTGCAGCAGCACGCCTCAAGTGAAGGCGTGGCGCAGCAGTGGGAGAGCGGCGGACGGAGCGCGGTACGTGCCAGGGGGTGCTTGCAGGGGGGCAATGAAGTGAGTCGTAGGGCGTCGCCGCGCAGAGGCAAGAGTCGTGCCTGTTGCCCTTGCTTCCGCCACTGGCCTCCTGCTGCTTCTGACCATCACTTGTTGCACCTCCTCTGTGTGTGTCTGCGTGTCCCTCGTCCCGTGCGTGTGTGTGTCTCATGGGCTGCGAGGCGGACGGGAATGGCAGCGAGTGGACAGGGAATCGACACGGCTGCCATTGCTGGCTTGAACGAGAGACGACCGTCTTGCGAGGAGAAAGGGGAGCAACCTGGAGCAGCACGCCTGAAGTGAAGGCATGGTGCAGGAGTGGTACGTGCCAGGGGGTGCTTGCAGGGGGGCTGTGAATTGAGTCGTAGTGAGTCGCCGCGCAGAGGCAAGAGTTGTGTCTTGCCCTTGCCTCCACCACTCGCCTCCTCTCTTGCTGCTTCTAACCCTCCCTTGTTCCACTGCTTCTGTCTGTGTACGTCTCTCCCTTTGCGTTTGTGTGCCTCATGGCCTGGCCTGTGAGATGGGAGATGGCAGGGAGTGGACGGGAAGTGACAAGCGTGCGGGTCTTGTTCCTGCCGGAGGCACAGCAGCAGCGCTGGTGAATGCAGCAGCGCTGGTAGCAGTAGCAGCAGTGTCTTGAATGTTCACCCAAGTATTTTCTCCTCTGAACGCTTTGCCTTTTGTGATGCCAAGCGCTCATCGCTTGAATCGCATGTGCTTCACTGCTCTCTCCTCTGAACTCTTGCCAACTCACAAGCCACAGTCCCTTCTTACTCCAGGTATCAGCAGCAGACAACCAGCAACCTAAAGCAGCTCGCCTAACACCTGGAGTAGCACGCCTGACGTTTGGAGCACGGACTGCAGCAGGGTGCTGCTTGGGTCGAATGTGTGGCACAGGAGTGGCAGGCTCAGCCAAAGAGGAGAACACACATAGCTGGAGCGTGGTAGGTGCCAGGGGGTGCTTGCGGGGGGGCTGTGAATTGAGTCGTAGAGCGTTGCCGCGCAGAGGCAAGAGTCGTGTCTCTTGGTCTTGTCTTTGCCACTCACCTCCTCTCCTGCTGCTCCGAACCCTCCCTTGTTGTGCCGCTTCTGTGTGTGTCTCTCTCTCCCCATGCGTGTGTGTGCCTCATGTCCTGCGAGACGGACGGGGGAGTCAGCGAGTGGACGGGGGAGTCAGCGAGTGGACGGGGGAGTCAGCGAGAGGAAGGGGATCAGCAGCAAGTGGACGGGGATCAGCAGCGAGTGGACGGGGATCAGCAGCGAGTGGACGGGGATCAGCAGCGAGTGGACGGGGATCAGCAGCGAGTGGACGGGGATCAGCAGCGAGTGGAAGGGGATCAGCAGCGAGTGGAAGGGGATCAGCAGCGAGTGGAAGGGGATCAGCAGCGAGTGGACGGGGATCAGCAGTGGCTGCAGCGACTGCAGGGTGATGGCGAGCGCACAAGAGGTTGTGAGTGGATCAAGCAGTTCACCACTTCAAGCAGTTCACCACTTCAAGCAGTTCACCACTTCAAGCAGTTCACCACTTCAAGCAGTTCACCACTTCAAGGTGGGAGAGTGCCGGTGACGTGGGTGTGAGTGTGCGTGGCATACTTGCATGGAGAAGAGAGAGGAATGCGAGAGAGGAAACTGTACGCACAGGCCCAAGGGTGATGAACTGATCGTAAGGCGCGAGAGTGCCGGTGACGTCGTCGATAAGCCGTGCCTGCTCCCGTGCCAGCTGGTAGAACACGCCCCTCTGCCTCAGCAGCACCCGTGCCAGCGCTGCCAGCAGCACTGCTACTATCACCCGCACCACCCCCACCACGTCTACAAGGGCCTGTTGGAAGGGGGTAAAGCGGAAGGGGGAATGGCGTGGTTGTGGGTATTTGAAGGAGCATCATACTTTTTGCAAAAAGCCGGCTCTTAAGCACTGATATTTTGTCATACCTTCTCCAACCCCACCCACAGCCCCATCCCCTTTTTCACCTGCATGCCGCAAGCCGTAGTAAGGGACGAGGTGGGCAGGAAGCGGCGGCATGCCCAGCACGCTACTGGCCCCCAGCGCACGGAGTCGGGGTGGCGGAAGCACACAGCTCCACCCCCCCACAGCCCCTCACCTGCATGCCACACGCAATCGCGAGAGACGAGGTGGGCAGGAAGCGGTGGCACGCCCAGCGGGCTACAGGGCCCGCACGTACGGAGTCGGGGTGGCGGAAGCGACCCTGCATGATGGCCAATGGCATCTCGCCAAGTGTCACCACGTCACCTGGTTGCAGATATGGGGCTGCGTAACTGGTGGGGGCGGGATGGGATGGAGTCCGGTGCAATGCAGTGCGGTGCAATGAAGAGGGTGACGAAACTTGGGAAGAAATGGGATGTGGTGGGATGAACTGGCCTTACAAACAAGCCTTACAGACTCACTGACTAGATTTGAGCGTGAGGGGTGTGCCTCATTGATGCAGCACATCTCACCGTCGGAGGGCTTCTCTCACTAGACTAGACCGAGTTGCAAGAGGGCGAGGAGTAGAAAGCGATGGCACAAGAGGGCGAGGGGCGTGTCTCACCGTCGGAGCACGAGTAGCGGGTCGTCGAGGTGGCACAGCAGGTGCGTCGGGACCGCCAGCACTGATATGCCCGGTGCGATGCTGCCGGGGAGGAGGACCATTGCGACCGTGCGGGGCAGAGGTGAATGCGGATGGAGGGGCAGGGGAGTGGAGGAGAGACGTGGGTTTGCGTGTGTGAGTGCGCACCCCCGGTGCATGTGTGCTGAGGAGCAGGATCAGCAGAGCGAGCATAAGGAGCAGAGCGAGCATATCGAGCAGAGTGAGCACACAAAGAAGAGAAGGGCATACCTGCGCCATTGAGGGGCGTGAGGAGCAGATGGGGGCGGGCAGGCGGGAAAGGCTAGTGGAAGAATGACATGCTGCACCAATGGCAGGCTGCCATGTGGCCCGTACGTCGGGTAGTGCACGTCCAGCCTGGCCGCCTGTGGGGAGGGACGTGAGGGGAGGGGCGTGTGTGGTGCGGAGGAAAGGGGGCGGTGGTGGGAGAGAGCGAAGGAGCGGGGGGGGTGGGTGTGAGAGACATGAGAGACGAGCAGGAGAAGTTTGAGTGAGGGCGGGAGAGGGTAGGGGGAGGGAGATGGGACAAGCACGGGCTGATGACACAATTTCACATGTTACGAGGGAGATTGACTTTGCTCACTGCTTTCACTCCGCTCCCTGCCATCACATGGAGAGGACTGAATGTTCCTGCTCTCGCCCTCGCTCACTGGCTGCTTGTACCTTGAGGTGGGAGAGGGCTGCATCGTCGTCAGAGTCTGCCGCCCGAATCTCAACAGTGACCTCCATCACCGTGCCCTTGCCCGCCCGGGTGATGTACGCCGGCCAGTAACCGTCCGCCCGGGGGGCAGGCTTGCCGCCCGGATGGCGCGGAGCGATCTGGAAGGGGCGGGGAGGCGGGCGGGCGGGGAGGCGTAGGTGGAGCGAGTAAAAGACAAAAGACAGCAGCTCAGATTAAAGTGAACGGGGGAGGGGAGAGAGGAGTTGACCAATCAAATTGGCAAGGGGGGCAAAAGTGAGAGGAGGGGATGGGGAGGAGAGGAGGTCTGTTGGTGGCAAGGGTGGAGGTGCAAGGGAGTGTGGGAGAGAGTGAGAGTGAGAGTGCCATTGGGAAAGTGCGAGGGAGTGCAGGGAGATCGTCTTTCGGGAAGTGCCGGGTCTGTGAGGAAGTGTGAGAGAGTGTGAGGGAGTGTGAGGGAGTGAGGAGGAGGGCGAGCACTGACAGAGACGTGGGTGGAGATGCCGTGGAGGGAGTGAGAGGAGAGCAGCACCACACTCGCCGTCACATGTGGGATGAAAATCTCCTGCTTGCGTGTCGTGTTGTGGAAGCTGGGCCAGGGGCGGGGGAAAGGCATGGAAGAAACTTTCAGGTCTGCTATTACTCAATGGAAGCATGATGATCACTCAATGGAAGCATGATGATCACTCAATGGAAGCATGATGATCACTCAATGGAAGCATGATGATCACTCAATGGAAGCATGATGATCACTCAATGGAAGCATGATGATCACTCAATGGAAGCATGATGATCACTCAATGGAAGCATGATGATCACTCGATGGAAGCATGATGATCACTCAATGGAAGCATGATGATCACTCAGTGGAAGCATGATGATCACTCAATGGAAGCATGATGATCACTCAATGGTGAAGGCACGGCACCGTCTCTTACCCAACCCTGCCCTGCCATCACCACATCTGCCCACCATCGCTCGCCCTCCCCGCACCTCATCTGCACACACTGCTCTCCCCTCCCCGCACCTCATGTGTCCCATCGCCCTCACCTCCCCTCACCTCATTCGCCCCACGAGGCGGTAGAGCGACGGGCCTCTCTCCTCCCACTGCCAGCTGCCACGTCTCAACAGCAGCCCCCCTGGCACATTGCCGCCCTGCACACGCACATGCGCATGCGGGCACATGCGGGGACACACACAGAGGCTCTCACACGCATGTATGTTCCCATGCACAGAAACACATGCTTACAAGACGAGGGCGAGGGGAGTGGAGGGGATCTCAATCATGCCACTCCCTTCCACTCCTATGCCTTCCACTCCCCTCGCCCTCCTCGTCTCGCCCTCCCTTCCTCACCCCATCCCTCTCTCGCTCCCATTCCCATCCCCTCCTTCCTCTCCCTCCTTCACGCCCCACCTGCACTGTCAGCAGCCGAGCCTTCTCCTGAGAAAGCCACCTCTCATTGTTTTCCACGTCATACGTCCCCGCATCCTCCAGTGCGCCGCCCCCCAATGCCGTCCGCTCCCCTGTCCCCTCCGCCGTCCCCGCCTCCGCATTCCGCCAATCTGCGGGATCGCTCGCCCACGCCGCGCCCGCTGCAGATGCCGCCGCGAATCCCCGACGGAATATTTTATTTCGTTTTAATGTGACTGCGACTGTGTGCGATGGGATTCCTCCAAGGTTTCGGCGGGATGGGCGGAATGGGAGCGCTGTGATTCCGCCATGGCGGAGCTGCGGCGGAACTCGGGCGCGCGGAGAAGAAATGGGGAGCAGTAGCGCACGGGAGGGCGGAAGGGCGAGTGCGCGGTGAGCGAGGGGAGGTTGGGATGAACGCACGGGGGTCATCTCGCGTCGCGTGCTCGCAACCCGCCGTGAAGCGTGGAGTGGTCCGTTGCGACTTATGGGAAGGCTCAAAAGCGAAGCGCGCTCTGAGCCGTTGCGGTGTTGTTTTCGAAATTATGACACGGAACTGGCAGCAATTTTTTTCATTATGTGTCGCTATTTTATCCTCCCTTCTAAAACTTATCTGCATAATGTTACTGGCTTGCTACAATCACATGTTCCAGTTCAACTAGAGTTCTTAAGTGTATGGAGAAACATCCTTTGGAACAATACGAAAACTACAAGGAACACTAGCATTTACTGCAAACGTAGCATGAGCAGTGTATAATGCGCTGCCATTTTTTTCTCATGGCTTGCTGCATCCCCGCACGATGACTATTGGGGTTTGTTGATCCGCATTCCCTGTCATCACACACACCCATGCATAGTGAGTCGGGCATAGTGAGTCAACTCACAATCAACAGCACGAGTTGTGATGCACAACCAATCATCAACCAATCGTTCACCCATGCATGCACCCAGAGCTTCCCTCCGGCTGCCCACCCCTGCCCGCCTGACAGGTGCACACCAGTGTCACAGCCTCAGGAAACACTCTCTCTGCACCACACTAAACCCCTCACAACCTGCGTGAGTGCGGGAAGGGCAGCGGCTCACCTGCTGGGTTGGGGAGCAGCGCTGTGGTGAGCCTCTTGTGGTCCACCCCTGCTGATGCCTGCATGCCATGGGGCATGGGGCATGGGGGCATGGGGGCATGGGAATATGGGGCAAAAGGTATGTGAATTGGATGGAATGAGCCATGCGATATGGATCTTGAGGAGATGGGGCATGGGGCATGGGGCATGGGGCATGGGGCATGGGGCATGGGGCATGGGGCATGGGAGCATGGGGCATGGACCACAGTGAAGGTCGGTGCTCTCTTGAGCTTATTCACAAGCGCCACAGCTGTCCACAGCCCAGCTTCATCCATCTTCACGTCCACCGCTCTTCACCGCTCACCACCCATGCAAGTGTGGCAGCACTCACAGCGAGGATCCTTGAGGTCGTTGACATCCACTATCGCCACGGCACACCCCAGCTTCATCCCTCTTCACCTCTCGTAACTGCCTATCACCGCATCACCCCTCATCACTGCTCTTCACCGCTCACCACCCATGTAGGTACTCACAGCGAGGATCTTGACTTTCTTGAGGTCGTTGACGTCTACCACCGCCACCGCACACCCCAGCCTTGCACTCAACCCCTTCACCGTCTCGTGCACGCGCAGCTGAATGGTGGGGAAGGGTAGCAGAAGAAAAAAACAGCACGCACGGGGCCGAGGGTGATGAACTGGTGTAGTGGGGCAGGGTGAGTGTAATGCGGCTGTATGTGTATGGGGCTACGTGCGCCTTCTGATGCGCCTCAAAAAGGTTTGTGTATGGGGCTATATGCACCTTTTGAGGCGCCTTAAAAAGGTACGTGTATGGGGCCATATGCGGGAGGGGAGAAGGACTCACGGGGCCTAGAGTGATGAACTGGTCGTAAGGAGGGAGGGTGCATGTGATGTCATCAATGAGTCGCGCCTGGTACCCTGCCAGCTGGTAAAACACCCCCCTCTTCCCCAGCAGTAGCCGCGCCAGTATTGCCACTATCACCGCCACTACCACCCGCACCACCCCCACCAAGTCTATCAGAACCTGTCGGGAGGGGCAAGGGGCGGAGGGGGAGGGGCGTGCATGCGGGTGGTGTGCGGGGAAAGGGGCAGCGACCACTCAAACAGCACCGCCACTATCATGCGCACCACCCCCACCAAGTCTATGAGCACCTGTTGGGAGGGGCAAGGGGGAACGGCATGGGTGTGGAAGGGAGGCATGGCTGCTGCTCCAGGAGCTGGTGGGGCTACGAGGTAGGAGGTGCGGTGGAAGGAGCGGCAGGCAAACCCATTCTTCTCTGCACTGCGTGCTCCTGCTTGCACACGCGCTGGAGAGATTTTTTAGGCGACGCTTCTCAAAGTAAGTGCGACGCTTCTCCTCAAAGTCAAAGTCCAACATAGCTGCTCCTGCTTGCACGCTCCAGCTCCTGGGCACTGCCGCACTGCTGCTACCACCCCCACGCGCACCTGCATGCCACAGGCAGTGGCAAGCGAGGATGCAGGGAGGAAGCAGAGGCAGGCCACGCGCGCCACGAGGCCCAGGGGCACGGAGTGCGGGTGGCGGAAGCACACAGCCCCACCCACAGTCCCACCCACAGTCCCACCCCCAACCCCACCTGCATGCCACAGGCGGTGGCGAGGGAGGAGGCGGGCAGGAAGCAGAGGCAGGCCAGGCACGCCACGAGCCCCGGGGGCACGGAGTCCGGGTGGCGGAAGCACACATCCCCACCCCCCACTACAGCCCCACCCACAGCCCCACCCACACAGCCCCACACCCACGCGCACCTGCATGCCACAAGCCGTAGCAAGGGACGAGGCAGGGAGGAAGCAGAGGCAGGCCAAGCGGGCAAGGAGGCCTGGGGGCACGGAGTCCGGGTGGCGGAAGCCGCTTTGCATGATTGCCAATGGGGTCTCGCCAAGTGTCACCACGTCACCTGGTTGCACATATGGCGCTGCGTAGCTGGAGTGGCCGGGATGAGATGGGATGGAGTGCGGTGCAGTGCGGTGCAGGATGGTGGTGAAGCTTGTGAGGAAGTGAGATGTGGTGGGTGGTGTACTCAACAAACTGGCGTCACAGGCCGATGGGTCAAACTGAACTGACTAAACTTGGGTGGGAATGAGTGGGAATGAGAATGAATATGAGATTGAGGATCAGAATAAGAAAAGGAATGAAAGTGAGCATGGCGGCACGAGAGAGCGAGCGGCGTGTCTCACTGTCGCAGCACAAGGAGCGGGTCGTCCAGGTGGCACAGCAGGTGTGTTGGGACCGCCAGCACTGATATGCCTGATGCGATACTGCGGGGGAGAGAGGGGTGGGGGGACGATTGAGATGGTGTGGAGCAGAGAGGGATGGTAGCATCAGCATCAGCATCAGCATCAGCAGGGAGGAGCAGGAGAGATGGGGCTGAGGGCGAGTTGGGGCGGGGCAAGCAGCGGCGAGGGGCATACCTGCGCCACTGAGGGGCATACCTGCGCCACTGAGGGGCATACCTGCGCCACTGAGGGGCATACCTGCGCCACTGAGGGGCGTGAGGAGCAGAAGGAGGCGGGCAGGGGGGGAAGGCGAGGGGCAGGATGACGTGCTGCACCAATGGCAGGCTGCCATGTGGCCCGTACGCCGGGTAGTGCACGTCCAGCCTGGCGGCCTGGTGGGTGGAACGCGAGGACAGGGAGATGGTGGGCGGGGAATGGTGGGCGGGGAATGGTGGGCTGTTTATACAAGCTCAGGTGTAAGCGGGAAATTGACTTGGCTGTCTGCTCTCGCTCTCCTCCCTTCCATCGCTCTCCTCCCTTCCATCGCTCTCCTCCCTTCCATCGCTCTCCTCCCTTCCATCGCTCTCCTCCCTTCCATCGCTCTCCTCCCTTCCATCGCTCTCCTCCCTTCCATCGCTCTCCTCCCTTCCATCGCTCTCCTCCCTTCCATCGCTCTCCTCCCTTCCATCGCTCTCCTCCCTTCCATCGCTCTCCTCCCTTCCATCGCTCTCCTCCCTTCCATCGCTCTCCTCCCTTCCATCGCTCTCCTCCCTTCCATCGCTCTCCTCCCTGCCATCGCTCTACAGGTCGTACCTTGAGGTGCGGTGGTTGTACCAGTGGTCGTACCTTGAGGTGCGGTGGTCGTACCTTGACGACAGGGCTGCTTCGCACCTCCCTGCCACCGCTCTACAGACTACAGGTCCGGTGGTTGTACCTTGAGGTGCGACAGGGCTGCTTTGTCCCCTGAATCTGAATCTGAGTCTGCCGCCCGGATCTCAACAGTGACCTCCATGGCTGTGCCCTTGCCCGCCCGGACGATGTATGCCGGCCAGTAGCCGTCCGCTCGGGGAACAGGCGTGCCTTCCGGATGGCGCGGAGCGATCTGGAAGGGGCGGGTGGGCGGGCGGGCGGGCGGGCGGGCGGGGAGGAGGTGTGTTGTGCGCATTGACACGACACCAAGTCAAGAAGGGGCGGGCGGGCGGGCGGGCGGGCGGGGAGGAGGGGAGGAGGTGTGTTGCGCGTTGACACGACACCAAGTCAGAGGCGTAGCATAAATGACACAGCAGCTAACAGCAAAGTTTGCCTTTTCTATTTGGTTTTGCGATTTCCATTTTGCTTTGTGTATTCGCTTTCAGAGCCGAGCTGTTGGTTCGATTCGAGTTTGAGGCAGATTCGGGGTCTATTGATGCGTCTTTTGAGAATTCTCAAAAGTCGCCTGGCTCCCCAATTTCTCGGAAATGGTGAGGAATTGAAGGAACAAAATGGGCAAAGGGGCAAGGAGGGGATGGAGGGAATGGAAGTCTGGTGGGTGCATGGGTGGAGGTGCGAGGGAGCATCGGGAAGTGTTCAAGCGTGCGAGGGAGAGCGAGAGGTAGTGAGGGAGTATGAAGGAGTGCGGGGGAGGTAGCACTGACAGAGACGTGGGTGGAGATGCCGTGGAGGGAGTGGGAGGAGAGCAGCACTGCCACTCGTGCCGTCACATGTGGGAGGAAGATGTCCTGCTTGCTCCTCAAGTTGTGGAAGCTGGGTGAGGGGGGGGGGGGAGGAAGGGGGGTGGCAAAGGGGGATGGATCCTTTGAGTTGACTCAAAAGACACATGTGGGAGGAGAGGAATATGTCCTGCTGGTGCCTCATGTTGTGGAAGCTGGGTGAGGGGCGATGGGCAGGGAGGAAAGGGAAGGGGGAGACTTGTGAGACTTGTGAGACTTGTGAGACTTGTGAGTTGACTACATGTGGCACGAAAATGTCCTGCTTGCGCGTCGTGTTATGGAAGCTGGGCCAAGGGGGGGAAGGAAAGAGAAGGGGAAACCATCGCCCCCCCCCCCCCCCCCCCCCCTCACCTCATGAGCCCCATCGATCTGTGCTGTGCTCACCTCATGTGTCCCATCACCCTCCTCTCACCTCATGACCCCCACGAGGCGGTAGAGCGACGGGCCTCTCTCCTCCCATTGCCAGCTGCCACGTGTCAACAGCAGCCCCCCTGGCACATTGCCGCCCTGCACACGCACACATGCGTACAGGCACATGCGCATACAGGGACACACACACAGGCACTCACAAGCATGCACTCATGCACAGACACACATGCTTGTAGACCCACACACACACACAACAGGGGAAATGCCGGCCATATTGGGATCACTTTTGAGAATCCTCTCGCCCTCTTCATCTCGCACCCTTCCTTCCTTCAGCATCCCATCCGCGTGATAAAAATTGGGGTTTGAGACGTCTCAGAACTCAATTTTTATCACGTGCCATCCCATTCCTTCGCTCCCACTCCCAACCCCTCCTTCCTCTCCCTCCTCCACGCCCCACCTGCACAGTCAGCAGCCGAGCCTTCTCCTCAGAAACCCACTTCTCATTGCGTGCCACGTCATACGTCCCCGCATCCTCCAACGCGCCCCCCCCCACTGCAGTCCCACCCGCCGCCCCCTCTGCGGGATCGCTAGCCCACGTCGCGCCCGCCGTAGACGCCGCCGCGAATCCCGGACGGAGCATTTTATTTCGGTGCGATGTTATTGTTACTAGGACTATGTGCAGTGCTAGGTTGCGGCGGGATGGGCGGAGCGGAAGCGCTGTGCGTCCCCCGTGGCGAAGTCGGGCGCGCGGAGAAGCAACGGGGAGCGGTAGCGCACGGGGGCGCGGGGAGGCGAGGGGGAACGGACGGGCGAGTGCGCGGCGAGCGTGGGCGTGTTTTGAGATGTCTCAACACCCAACTGCTATTAGGGGGAACGGATTGGCGAGCGTGCAGTGAGGATTGCGTGCACGGTAGGAAATGTGGCACGTGGGGTCCCGTGGGGTTGCGCGACCTCATTTCAAATGACGGGAGGTTGGGATTGAAATATGGGTCATGTGGGATGGCATAAACAGTAGAAAATGGAGTCATAATGTTTTAGTGGAATATATTTTTCTGACTTACTTACAGATGTGACTCCATGGCCCAATGGATAAGGCGCTGGTCTACGGAACCAGAGATTCTGGGTTCGATCCCCAGTGGAGTCGGTGCTTTTGCCCTCAATCAGTCTTCTCCTCGCGGTCCCAACCTCCTCCTGTCTTTTCACCCACCTCTCGCATCCATTACACTTCTCTCCGCGTGGCATCTGCAATGCTCGCTCTGCGACCTCTGCCTTCTCTGCGCGTCGCTTCTCTCTCGCCCAGCCTTCTCCTCTTGCGGCCGTCCCGCGCGCTCGCTCATGCATCGCGGTACCCGGGGAGGGCGGAGCCCTGTCCTGTTGCGCGCAGTAGGCGGAGAGATGGAGCGCGCCACGCGGAAAGTCGCCCCATACCGCGCCTCGCTATGAGCGCGGCGCCAATTGCGGCAGCCCTTGGAGCCACAGACGAGAAAGAAAATGAGCCGTTGGATCCTGTTACAGACTCCGAGAAGGAGGCCCCTGAACCGCCAGATGCGCCACTTGCTGCTGACGCGGCGGAACGCGAGCCCCGCCCGGGTCGGGGGCGCGCAAACCCGCGCTCGGCTCCGCGGAGAGAAAGCCCCCGCGCGCAACAGGCGGGTGAGGGTACTCCCTCTCTGCGGAGTAATGCGGAGCTGATGGCGGAGGGGGGAAAGGATGCGGGGAGCGGGGGAGGGTTAGGGGGAGGCGGGGGAAGGCGGAAGACGGGGGCGAGCGTGGGGGTGGACTATGGCGGGCGGCGGACAGGCGTGGCAGTGAGCTACAGTGGCTTCGCCCCTCGACCAATCACGGTGAGGCTCACAAGCCAGTCAGTCAACCGTACACCACCCTACTGAACCTCAACTACATCGCATCGCATGCCCGCCCACCACACCACGCTCTTCTGCCATCGCTCTCTCTGCTCTCTTCCCATCCTTGGCTCACAATATCCCCCTTGTCCTGCTGCTGTCTCTCTCCTCCTGAACCTCGCTCTCTTCCTCGCTGAACCGGTGTGTGCGGGCCCTGCAGGTGCTGACGACACGGGGCCCTCAACTGGTGGCGGACCTGCTGAAGCTGGCGCGAGATGAGGTGAGGGGATGAGCGAAGGAGGAGAAGTTGTGAGGAGAATGAGAGGGGATGGGGAAGAAGAGAGACGAGGGGGTGATGGATGCACATGCGGGAGGGGCAACAAAGGAGGGGGCGAGTTATTCTTGAGGTGCCTCAGAACTCATGTGTGCACGAACGGGAGGGGTCGAGTTGTTGAGTCAGCAGTCAGGTCTCTTATCGCCCGCCTGGCCTCAAGCTTTTTCCCCGTCTACCCAGTCTCCCCCCTCCCTCCCCACTCTCCCCCGTCTTCCCCATCCCCTCTTCCCACTCTCCCTCTTCTCCCCCCTCTCCCCCTTCTCCCCCCTCTCCCCTCTTCCCCCCATCTTCCCCCGCTCTCCCATCTCCCACCTCTCCCCTCCCTCCCCCCGCGCCCAGGGGGCGGACGAGCTGGTGGTGGGCCTCTCCCCAACCCTCTGCCTTCCCTCCGCCTCTCCCGTCTCTTCCCCCCCTCTCTACTTCCCCCTCCCCCCCAGGGGGCGGACGAGCTGGTGGTGGGGTTGCCAGTGTCGTGGGATCAATCCGAGGGCCCACAGGCCGCCACGTGTCGGCAGTTCGCGCAATCACTGGCTAAACCAGCTGCGGTGCAGTGAGTGTGTAGTGAGTGTGCAGTGAGTGTGTAGTGAGTGTGCAGTGAGTGTGTAGTGAGTGTGGAGTGAGTGTGGAGTATGCAGTGAGTGTGGAGCGAGTGTGCAGTGAGTGTGCAGTGAGTGTGCAGCGAGTGTGCAGCGAGTGTGCAGTGAGTGTGCAGCGAGTGTGCAGCGAGTGTGCAGTGAGTGTGCAGCGAGTGTGCAGTGAGTGTGCAGTGAGTGTGGAGTGAGTGTGGAGTGTGCAGTGAGTGTGCAGTGAGTGTGGAGTGTGCAGTGAGTGTGCAGTGAGTGTGCAGTGAGTGTGGAGTGTGCAGTGAGTGTGCAGTGAGTGTGCAGTGAGTGTGGTCTGTGGTTTCGGGTAACCTTGTTGTGCTTCATTGAATACACCCCATATCCATTCCCTACTTTCCGTGCGACTCATGCGCTGCAAGTGATACCCTGCGCTCTGTCATCAGTACTTCATGTCTCTCTCTTGTCTCTCATGTCTCTCATGTGTCTCATGTGTCTCATGTGTCTCCGTGTGCCACGTGCCACCTATCCTGTATGCCCATGCCATCACAGGGGGGTGAGAGTGTTCCTACATGACGAGTACAGCACGTCACAAGATGCTCTCGACCTCATGATCCAATCGTAAGCTGCCACCTCAGCATCCTGCACCTGCTGCTGTTTCCTAGTCGTGGTGACAAGACATCTGCGTGTCGCCTGTGTGAAGTGCTAACCTTCTTTGCTCTTCTCCTTTCACCTCTTCTCATCTCGCCTTCTCTCTCCCCCACCCCCCATCACATCAGTGGTCGTGGCAGGAAGGACCGGCAAGAGATGCTCGATGCCTTTGCTGCTGCTGTGAGTGCTCCTCCTCAGCTCCTCAGAACGAAGCTTAATAGGCTAACAACACAGGTGTGACGAGATTCTTGCACGCCTTTAGAAGGCATGCTTGTTTGCTCGCTTGTTCTCCCCACGTCACGCTTCTCAATCTCTTCTCCACGCCTCACACACTCGTCTCACAAACTTCGAAACCTCCCTGGCCTCAACACACCACGCACCCCCTTCCCCCCCACCCTGCCCTCCTCCCAGGTTCTGCTGAGGTCCTACTTCGAGTCCCAGGGGGTCAACGCCACTGCAGTGCTGCCCAAGAGTAAACTGCTCCAACAAAAGCTCTGCTCCCGCCAACACGCTCCCGATGCCACTGCACAACAATTCTCTGCCGCGTCCGAATCCCTGGGAACACCTGACTCCTCTTCTGCAGTTAGAGCCTCTGCACCAACTCAAGATAATGCAGCCTCTGCTGCTGCAGGCGTGACTGTCTCTGCAATGCCAGCGATAGAGCAAGGGGGCCGTGCTGTCACACCGCACAGAGTCACGTCCAGCAAGAAGGGAGCGGCACGGAGCAGCAAGGAATCATCATGGGTTCACAGTGTGCAGGGAGCAGCAAATCTTAGTGCACGGAGCAGAGGCAGTGGGGAGAGGAAATGGCCTCTTGTTAATAAGCCTCTTGCCACCAGGCAGGTTGTGAAGAGTAGAGATGACTATGGTGATGATGAGGATGATGATGATAGTCTGTTTGATGGTGACTGGGAGGCTGCTTTCAAGCTGAAGTAATACCCATTGCCCACTCTCCTTCTCAATCTGGGCTTCATTTGGTTCCATTCATTGCCCTACCTGGGGCAGGCATTGCCCTTGTTTTCACAATTTCAGCAGCAAGAAGCTGAGCATGGGCCATGAAAACAACTGGTACAGATAGAGTTAATTACGAAAGACGAGTATTGTAGTAGGAAATGGAATGGCTCGCTCCCACCGTATCAATGAATGAAATAACTTTCAGGTTAGCCCACAATGTACCTACCTACGTACATAACTACACCTACCAGTACGGCCGGCAGTACCGTATCACTCACTACGCCACTGGCTCAAAGGAGCATATGGCGAGGCAGGCAAGCAAAGCAGCTAAAACTTCTTTCTCTCTCTTGTCTCTCATGTCTCTCATGTGTCTCATGTGTCTCATGTGTCTCCGTGTGCCACGTGCCACCTATCCTGTATGCCCATGCCATCACAGGGGGGTGAGAGTGTTCCTACATGACGAGTACAGCACGTCACAAGATGCTCTCGACCTCATGATCCAATCGTAAGCTGCCACCTCAGCATCCTGCACCTGCTGCTGTTTCCTAGTCGTGGTGACAAGACATCTGCGTGTCGCCTGTGTGAAGTGCTAACCTTCTTTGCTCTTCTCCTTTCACCTCTTCTCATCTCGCCTTCTCTCTCCCCCACCCCCCATCACATCAGTGGTCGTGGCAGGAAGGACCGGCAAGAGATGCTCGATGCCTTTGCTGCTGCTGTGAGTGCTCCTCCTCAGCTCCTCAGAACGAAGCTTAATAGGCTAACAACACAGGTGTGACGAGATTCTTGCACGCCTTTAGAAGGCATGCTTGTTTGCTCGCTTGTTCTCCCCACGTCACGCTTCTCAATCTCTTCTCCACGCCTCACACACTCGTCTCACAAACTTCGAAACCTCCCTGGCCTCAACACACCACGCACCCCCTTCCCCCCCACCCTGCCCTCCTCCCAGGTTCTGCTGAGGTCCTACTTCGAGTCCCAGGGGGTCAACGCCACTGCAGTGCTGCCCAAGAGTAAACTGCTCCAACAAAAGCTCTGCTCCCGCCAACACGCTCCCGATGCCACTGCACAACAATTCTCTGCCGCGTCCGAATCCCTGGGAACACCTGACTCCTCTTCTGCAGTTAGAGCCTCTGCACCAACTCAAGATAATGCAGCCTCTGCTGCTGCAGGCGTGACTGTCTCTGCAATGCCAGCGATAGAGCAAGGGGGCCGTGCTGTCACACCGCACAGAGTCACGTCCAGCAAGAAGGGAGCGGCACGGAGCAGCAAGGAATCATCATGGGTTCACAGTGTGCAGGGAGCAGCAAATCTTAGTGCACGGAGCAGAGGCAGTGGGGAGAGGAAATGGCCTCTTGTTAATAAGCCTCTTGCCACCAGGCAGGTTGTGAAGAGTAGAGATGACTATGGTGATGATGAGGATGATGATGATAGTCTGTTTGATGGTGACTGGGAGGCTGCTTTCAAGCTGAAGTAATACCCATTGCCCACTCTCCTTCTCAATCTGGGCTTCATTTGGTTCCATTCATTGCCCTACCTGGGGCAGGCATTGCCCTTGTTTTCACAATTTCAGCAGCAAGAAGCTGAGCATGGGCCATGAAAACAACTGGTACAGATAGAGTTAATTACGAAAGACGAGTATTGTAGTAGGAAATGGAATGGCTCGCTCCCACCGTATCAATGAATGAAATAACTTTCAGGTTAGCCCACAATGTACCTACCTACGTACATAACTACACCTACCAGTACGGCCGGCAGTACCGTATCACTCACTACGCCACTGGCTCAAAGGAGCATATGGCGAGGCAGGCAAGCAAAGCAGCTAAAACTTCTTTCTCTCTCTTGTCTCTCATGTCTCTCATGTGTCTCATGTGTCTCATGTGTCTCCGTGTGCCACGTGCCACCTATCCTGTATGCCCATGCCATCACAGGGGGGTGAGAGTGTTCCTACATGACGAGTACAGCACGTCACAAGATGCTCTCGACCTCATGATCCAATCGTAAGCTGCCACCTCAGCATCCTGCACCTGCTGCTGTTTCCTAGTCGTGGTGACAAGACATCTGCGTGTCGCCTGTGTGAAGTGCTAACCTTCTTTGCTCTTCTCCTTTCACCTCTTCTCATCTCGCCTTCTCTCTCCCCCACCCCCCATCACATCAGTGGTCGTGGCAGGAAGGACCGGCAAGAGATGCTCGATGCCTTTGCTGCTGCTGTGAGTGCTCCTCCTCAGCTCCTCAGAACGAAGCTTAATAGGCTAACAACACAGGTGTGACGAGATTCTTGCACGCCTTTAGAAGGCATGCTTGTTTGCTCGCTTGTTCTCCCCACGTCACGCTTCTCAATCTCTTCTCCACGCCTCACACACTCGTCTCACAAACTTCGAAACCTCCCTGGCCTCAACACACCACGCACCCCCTTCCCCCCCACCCTGCCCTCCTCCCAGGTTCTGCTGAGGTCCTACTTCGAGTCCCAGGGGGTCAACGCCACTGCAGTGCTGCCCAAGAGTAAACTGCTCCAACAAAAGCTCTGCTCCCGCCAACACGCTCCCGATGCCACTGCACAACAATTCTCTGCCGCGTCCGAATCCCTGGGAACACCTGACTCCTCTTCTGCAGTTAGAGCCTCTGCACCAACTCAAGATAATGCAGCCTCTGCTGCTGCAGGCGTGACTGTCTCTGCAATGCCAGCGATAGAGCAAGGGGGCCGTGCTGTCACACCGCACAGAGTCACGTCCAGCAAGAAGGGAGCGGCACGGAGCAGCAAGGAATCATCATGGGTTCACAGTGTGCAGGGAGCAGCAAATCTTAGTGCACGGAGCAGAGGCAGTGGGGAGAGGAAATGGCCTCTTGTTAATAAGCCTCTTGCCACCAGGCAGGTTGTGAAGAGTAGAGATGACTATGGTGATGATGAGGATGATGATGATAGTCTGTTTGATGGTGACTGGGAGGCTGCTTTCAAGCTGAAGTAATACCCATTGCCCACTCTCCTTCTCAATCTGGGCTTCATTTGGTTCCATTCATTGCCCTACCTGGGGCAGGCATTGCCCTTGTTTTCACAATTTCAGCAGCAAGAAGCTGAGCATGGGCCATGAAAACAACTGGTACAGATAGAGTTAATTACGAAAGACGAGTATTGTAGTAGGAAATGGAATGGCTCGCTCCCACCGTATCAATGAATGAAATAACTTTCAGGTTAGCCCACAATGTACCTACCTACGTACATAACTACACCTACCAGTACGGCCGGCAGTACCGTATCACTCACTACGCCACTGGCTCAAAGGAGCATATGGCGAGGCAGGCAAGCAAAGCAGCTAAAACTTCTTTCTCATGAACTTCAAAATTGCCGCGAACAAGACTACCGGTACCGGTAAATGGTGGTAGTACAGTAACCACCCTCGCTCCTCGCTCAGTTCACAGGCGGAAGCGTATCCATGGAGGGGAGGCCCTGTCAAATGTTGAACATTGATATGATAGGCTATAATGAGTTGCACTCTAGGGGGTACAGCTTCTAGGGTTGCTCATTTGTACCCCATTCGTTTCTATTCCAATCATTCCGTTGTTCGCTAACTTTGAGATGGTATCATGAGTAGGTGTCGATCCTCTCGCCTAGCCTAGCCTAGCTCGCGCCCTAGCGCCCTCCGCGCCCTTGCGCCCTAGCACACTCCGCGCCCTCCGCGCCCTCCGCGCCCTTGCGCCCTAGCACCCTCCGCGCCCTCCGCGCCCTCCGCGCCCTCCGCGCCCTCCGCGCCCTCCGCGCCTTAGCCACCGCGCCCTCCGCGCCATTTCCGCGCCTTAGCGCCCTCCTCCTCCGCGCGTTAGCGCCCTCCGCGCCCCTAGCCTGCGCCCCTAGCCCGTCGCCCAGGCCCACGCCCTAGCCCGTCGCCCAGGCGCCCGCCCTAGCCCGTCGCCCAGGCGCCCGCCCTAGCCCGTCGCCCAGGCGCCCGCCCCAGCCCGTCGCCCAGGCGCCCGCCCCAGCCCGTCGCCCAGGCGCCCGCCCCAGCCCGTCGCCCAGGCGCCCGCCCCAGCCCGTCGCCCAGGCGCCCGCCCCAGCCCGTCGCCCAGGCGCCCGCCCTAGCCCGTCGCCCAGGCGCCCGCCCTAGCCCGTCGCCCAGGCGCCCACCCCAGCCCGTCCCCCAGGCGCCCGACCCAGCCCGTCGCCCAGGCGCCCGCCCTAGCCCGTCGCCCAGGCGCCCGCCCTAGCCCGTCGCCCAGGCCTGCGCCCTAGCCCGTCGCCCAGGCCTGCGCCCTAGCCCGTCGCCCAGGCGCCCGTCCTAGCCCGTCGCCCAGGCCTGCGCCCTAGCCCGTCGCCCAGGCGCCCGTCCTAGCCCGTCGCCCAGGCGCCCGTCCTAGCCCGTCGCCCAGGCGCCCTCCCTGGCTCGTCACCCCAGCCCCGCAGGCAGCGCGCCACGCGGGTAGCGCGCCCCGCGGGTAGCGCGCCCCGCAGGAGGCGCGCCCCGCGGGTAGCGCGCCCCGCAGGCAGCACACCCTGCAGGCAGCGCGCCCCGGGGTGCTTTAGTGCCAGAAAATATAAATTAAACCCTAAAAAAAAAAAAAAAAAAAAAAAAAAAAAGGGGGTTCACAGTGGGGGCCTGCGACTGTCGCCCGCGTTCCTGCTTGCCGGACGACCTGCACAGTTGCCTACATCCCGCAGCCGTCAGTACTGCAGCCCCTCCTGTCGCACGTACTTTCCACTGCCAGTGGCTCTACTAGCGGCAGCCGACAGCCGCACTTACGGTCTCTAGCCCCGGCCGTTCCTACCTCCAGCCAGCCCTAGCTCGCCGCTTCTAGCTCCAGCCGTTCTCGCTCCAGCCGTTCTCGCTCCTCGCTCGTAGCTCAGTTTGCTCCGTGCTCCGGCCGTTCCTCGCCTAGTTTCACCTGGCGCTCCTAGCTTAGTTCGCTCCGTGCTCCAGCAGTTACTCGCCTGGTTTCACCTGGCGCTCCTAGCTTAGTTCGCTCCGTGCTCCAGCAGTTACTCGCCTGGTTTCACCTTGCGCTCCTAGTTGTTCTCGTTTTTCACAGCAGCCTGTCGCTCCTGTCGCTCCTAGCCTGCCGCTCCTGCACCCCGCTAGCTTTTATCATGGAGTCCGCTAGGGTTCTCCAGCAGCAGGGACAGCAGCAGCGGCCTTTTCAGCAGTGGCTTCCGCAGCGGCAGGGGCGCCCTCAGCAGCTGTGGCGCCCTCAGCAGCCATGGGGGCCTGGTGGTTCAGGTCGCGTTGGCTGCAGCAGCGGCCCAGCCAGCTGGGGGGCTCGTCGCGGTGGCCGCGACGTCGGCCCCTGCCAGTACCGGATCCTGACCGGCCCTGGTGCTGGCACTACCTGCTGGCGTCCTGACCACTCTGCACAGCGCTGCTACAGCCGCCTCGACGACCTTTACCGTGAGCGTTTTGGGCCTGAGTCGGCTCCCCCGATCTGGCCCGGTCTGTTTCGTAGTGGTTTCCCTGTATTTGATATGTCTATGGATGCTGTTTATTCTGTCACGTACGGATCTCTTGGCTTACGTGTACCTAGCTTAGGACCTTTGCCTGTTGCTAGTGTCGGTACTTGTGCTTTTAGTGTAGGTGCTTGTGTAGTCACTAGCCCAGCCGTGACGACTGCTGTTGCGTCGCTCTCCTTCACGCTGGACTCCGGCGCGTCTCAGTGTTTCTTCCGCGACCACACCACTGTCACACCTCTTTCGGCTCCAGTCCCAGTTGCCCTGGCTGATCCTACTTCAGGACCAGCAGTTGCTCGTAGCTCGACCACCCTCCCGTGCCCGGCTGTCCCCTCTGGTTTCCTCACTGGTCTCTACATCCCCTCGTTCTCTCGGAACTTGGTGGGTGTTGGATACCTTCAGGACCGGGGGATCACAGTCACTTTTCCTGCGCACGGGAGGACTGCGATCTGTACGGACTCTTCCACCGGGGCAGTTCTTGCCACGTTCACCAGAGAGCCCCACTCAGGTCTCTTCGTCCTGCACACTCCGCCCCCGCAGGTAGCTGCGTCTGGTCAGGTTGCTTCGTCCCCCCCGGTAGCAGAGTCCGGTCAGGTGGCTGTGTCCAGTCCGGTCGCTGTGTCCAGTCCAGTCGCTGCGTCTTGCTCCTGTCGCTCTCTCGCCCACCGCACCGTCCTGTGGCACCACCGTCTTGGCCACCCGTTGATCCCTCGCCTTCGTGGCATGCTCAGTCAGGGACTAGTCACAGGTCTCCCACGCACCTTCCCGTCGCTCCCTCCCTCGCTTGCCCCTCCTTGCTCTCCGTGCGTCGCCGGTCGCTTACGTGCCACTCCCCACTCCTCCTCCCTTCGTCCGGCCACCGCTCCCTTCGAGACTCTCCACTTGGACGTCTGGGGCCCTGCCCCGACGCAGGGGTCTGGGAGGGAGCGCTACTTTCTGGTGGTCGTCGACGACTTCTCCAGGTACACCACAGTGTTTCCTCTTGCGAAGAAGTCCGAGGTGACTGCTACGCTGATCAGGTGGCTTCTAGCCACTGAGGGCACTCGTGGTCGTCGAGTCAGTTGTCTTCACTCCGACCGTGGGGGCGAGTTTCGCTCCGGCATTCTCGGCGGATTCTGCGGCGAACAGGGCATCACCCAGTCCTGGACGCTGCCAGAGTCCCCACAGCAGAATGGGGTTGCTGAGCGCCACATAGGCTTGGTCATGGACATCGCCCGCACGTCCATGATTCATGCCCGTGCGCCCCATTTTCTGTGGCCTCACGCGGTTCGCTACGCCGCACACCAGCTGAACCTCCAGCCGCGTGTCTCGCGGCCCGAGGCTTCACCGACCAGTCTCTGGACTGGATCCCCTGGTGTTGGGTCGGCCTTTCGAGTCTGGGGCTGCCTTGCACTTGTTCGCGACACCTCCGCGGACAAGCTCTCGGCACGCGCCGTCCCCTGTGTCTTCCTTGGTTTCCCAGTGGACTCTGCTGACTGGTCCTTTTACCACCCTCCCCTCCACCAGTTCCTAGATTCCCGTGACGTCCGGTTTGACGAGTCCGTGTCCTACTACACCCGGTACCCCTGTCGAGGTCTCCCGGTACCCCCTCCCCCTCTCTTCCTCGCACCCTCTCCTCCTCCTGCTCCCGCTCCTCCGGTACCCCCGCCCCCCCCTGGTCCTGCCCCGTCTGGTGTGTCCCACGCTACCCCTCTCCCCTCGGTCGTGCGTCAGGTAGCGTCTCCCTCCCCGCAGTCCTCCTCACAGTCCCCTCAGCAGCCTTCGGCACTTCCGCGACAGGTTACTGTGGACTCGGTTGGTGTTGGAGCTGGAGGTGCAGCCGCTGGCGGTGCTCGGTCGCGGGGTACTGGAGCTGGAGGTGCTGGCGCAGGTGACGCTAGCTCTGGGGGTGCTGGAGCTGGAGGTGCTGGCGCAGGTGGCGCTAGCTCTGGGGGTGCTGGAGCTGGAGGTGCCGGCACTGGAGGTGCTGGTTCTGGGGGTGCTGGAGTTGGGGGTGCTGGCATTAGCGGTGCTAGTTCTGGGGGTGCTGGAGTTGGAGGTCCTAGCACTGGCGGTACTGGTTCTGGGGGTGCTGAGTCTGAGGAGACTGACGCTGGAGACCCTGGTTCTGCGGAGTCCACCCCGCCCCCCCACCGCCACGACACGCGTCTCCAGGCTGCCCGTCGGCGTGAGCGTGAGGAGCAGGAGCAGTTGGAGAGGGAGCGGCAGGAGCTGCGGGTGCTGGACCTTCTGGAGCAGCAGCGGCCGCAGCCGCCACCGCAGCTTCCTCTAGAGCGGCGGTTGTTCCCACCTGTGAGTGGCTTGCGGGCCCTTGGCCTTTCCTCCTCTCCTCCTGTCCGCTCCCAGTCTCCTCCTGTGTTTGTTCCTCTGTTGCCTCCTCCTGACGACCGTCCGGCGGTCTGGTCTTCTCCTCCTCCTCAGTCTCCTCCTCCCTCTGTCCGTCGCGACTTGATCACTCGTTGTCCTCCGCGTGCTCGTCACTCGTCCCCTGTTACTGACCTCCACACTGCCCTCCTTTGTTCGTCTCGTTGTCGTTCTCCTTCTCCTGTGTCCGTTCTCCCGTCTCCTCCTCCGTCCTCTCTACCTGCCCTCCCCACTCCTATCTCTGACTACTACCGCGCTGTTCGTCCTGTTGCCGCACGTGTCCTCACCACTCTTGTCACCGACCCTCGTTTCCCTCCGTCGTCTGTCTCGGCTCTCACTGCCGCTGTCGCTGAGTTTGCTGCCGCCAGCCGCCTTGACTACGCCACCCGTGTGGTGCCAGCTCCTCCCTACCGTCCTCTGTCCGTCGGGGGTGGGTTTGCCCTTGGCTGTGACGTCCTAGAGGACAGAGAGTCTGAGCTGGAGTACTGGGCAGCCGCTTCTCCCTCTGTGTGTGCCATGCTGCTCTCCCCTGAGGGAGACCCCGACGCCCTTGACATACCGACTCCTCGCACTTACCGCGAGGCAGTGTCAGGGGCGTGGGCCTCTCAGTGGAAAGCGGCTATGGACTCAGAGTTGGCGTCTTGGAGATCCACAGGCACCTACGTCGACGCAGTTCCCCCTCCCAGGGCGAACGTAGTCGATGGCATGTGGCTCTTCAAGGTGAAGCGGCCGCCTGGAGCACCGCCGGTGTTCAAGGCGCGCTACGTGGCTAGGGGTTTCAGTCAGCGTGAGGGAGTTGACTTCTTCCAGACCTTCGCCCCGACCCCGAAGATGACTACTCTTCGGGTGTTACTCCACTTAGCAGCGCAGCGAGACTACGAGCTGCACTCCCTCGACTTCTCCACTGCGTTCCTCCAGGGCCGACTGCACGAGGAGATCTGGCTGCGCCGTCCTCCTGGCTTCACTGACACCTTCCCACCTGGGACCCAGTGGAGCCTGAGGCGACCAGTCTACGGTCTCCGCCAGTCGCCCCGTGAGTGGCACGACACTCTTCGCTCCACGCTTTGTGACCTTGGGTTCAGCCCGTCCTCCGCCGACCCGTCGCTGTTTGTTCGAGCGGGTTCTACTCCTTTCTTTATCCTTGTCTACGTCGACGACTTGGTGTTTGCTACAGCAGACAGGGCAGCCCTGGCTCAGGTGAAGTCCGAACTGCAGAAGAGACACAAGTGCACTGACCTGGGTGAGCTGCAGCGCTACCTTGGCCTGCAGATCACCCGGGACAGAGCCGCTCGCACCATCACACTGACGCAGTCACACATGGTGCAGCAGGTCCTTCGGCGGTTCCACTTCCAGTTCTCCACCACACAGCCCACTCCTCTTGCTGTTGACCACAGACTTACGGGCCCCTTTCCTGACGAGCCCTTTGAGTCCAGTGGACCCTACGCAGAGCTGGTGGGCTGCCTCATGTACCAGATGACTTGTACTCGACCGGACCTCGCCTTTCCACTCAGCATCCTTTCTCGCTTTGTTGCGACTGGGAGACACCGCCCTGTCCACTGGACAGCTGCTGTGAGGGTGGCGAAGTACCTGGCGACTACATCAGGCTTGGGGCTTGTGCTTGGAGGGACTCAGCCAGTGGCGTTGACTGGTCACTGCGACTCTTCCTACGCTGACGACGTGGAGACTCAGCGTTCGACTCAGGGTTACTGCTTCAGTCTGGGAGCTGGTGCTGTGTCGTGGAGGTCTACACGGTCGTCGTCTGTGGCTACTTCCAGTGCAGAGGCAGAGATCTACGCTGGTGCCATGGCGGCACAGGAGCTTCGCTGGTTGACCTTCTTGCTCGCTGACCTTGGTGAGCGGCCTCGCTCTGCACCGACCTTGTACGCTGACAACAAGGCCATGATCCTCCTGTGTCGAGAGCCTCGACTGGAGAGCAGAGTGAAGCATATTGACGTGAGGTACTTCCTCCTGCGAGAGCTGCAGCGACGCGGTCAGGCACGCCTGGACTTTGTGGCCTCAGAGGCCAACACTGCAGACGTCTTCACCAAGGCCTTGGCGCTTGGTGACCACCACAGGTTCTGTGTGCAGTTGGGGCTTGTTGAGGTAGGCCCTCGGTTGGTGTAGTCCTGTTGCTTGCTCTGCTTGTTGTGCTTTGTATTTATATCCTAGTGAACTCTTGAACTGGCCTTGTGGCCGCTTGCTTGCGCTCGGAATTTGTGTGGTGTCCTTGAGATCCACCCTGAGCTTGCCTTGGTTCTTGGTTTGACTGGTCTTGTGACCGTTTGTTCACCTTGCTTGCTTTGATGCCCCTCACTTAGCCTATGGGGGTGTGTCAAATGTTGAACATTGATATGATAGGCTATAATGAGTTGCACTCTAGGGGGTACAGCTTCTAGGGTTGCTCATTTGTACCCCATTCGTTTCTATTCCAATCATTCCGTTGTTCGCTAACTTTGAGAGGCCCATCCCCCCCACGCCTCCACCCATGCCCCCCACCACCCCCATGGGACCCCCCATCTGCCCCAGCCGCTGCGCTGCATGCATTGGCGACGAAGTTCCATGGAGCGGCGAGGGGGACGACGAGTGCAGACCTGCTCCTCCTCCCCCATGCATCCCCACCCCACCTCCGCCCGGCCCCCCAGGCACGGGATTCCCTCCCCCGCCATGAAGCGCCTGGGGAGGGCCAGGAGGGCCCCCAGGGCCCCCGCCCACTCCCCCTGCCCCACCCCCGCCCCCCTGGTGCAGCGGCGGGCCGACGTTGATGAGGAGTTGTGCGAGCCATCGGCGCGTGGTGACGTCGTCGTGCAGGCACGCTGAGAAGGTGGCGTCTCGGAGCAGGTCTGGCAGGCACGTGCGCAGGGCCTCCCCCGCGCGGGGGTTGTCGGAGAGGCGCAGGTAGCAGCGGATGATGTGCTTTAAGAGGCGGACGGACGGGTGCTCTGCTAGTAACTGAACCATGTTGCCCAGAACTGCACTCACCTGGGGGGAGAGAGAGGGGAACGAAGGGGAACAAGGGGGAAGAGAGGTATACGAAGAGGTATGAGAGGCGCAGGCACGCTGAGAAGGTGGCGTCTCGGAGGAGATCTGGCAGGTTCGGAGGGCCTCGGCCACACTGGGGTTGTCGGAGAGACGCAGGTAGCAGCGGATGATGTGCTTCAAAAGGCGCACTGAGGGGTGCTCCGCTAGTAGTTGCACCATGTTTCCCAGGACTGCACTCACCTGGTGGGGAAGGGGAAGGGGGAGGGGGAGGGGGAGGGGAACAGGGGAAGGGAGAGGTGGATATGAAGTGCGGCAGGTAGCAGCGGATGATGTGCTTTAGAAGGCGCACTGAGGGGTGCTCTGCTAGTAATTGCACCATGATGCCCAGCACTGCACTCACCAGGGAGGGAAAGGGGGGGAAAGAGAGGGAAGGGAGCAGGAGGGAGGGGCGGATGTGAAGTGCGGCAGATAGAAGGAGTTGACATGGTGCAACTGACGGATTCACAGGTGCTCTGCTAGTAGCTGCACCACGTTTCCCAGCACTGCACTCACCTGAGGGAGAACGACACAACAAGGGAAACAAAGGTAAGAGAGGTAAAAGGAAGGGCATATGGCAGCGAATGATGGGAATTGCCAGCACCTGCAGCTAGCCTAAAAGTTTCACCACGCATCATGCCCACTTGCTTGACCTGCTACTGCTCAGAACGGCACAGCACTGCACCAAATCCTAGCAGCACCGCACCTCACAGCAAAGAACCGCACTCACAGCAAAGAACCGCACTCACAGCAAAGAACCGCACTCACAGCAAAGAACCGCACTCACAGCAAAGAACCGCACTCACAGCAAAGAACCGCACTCACAGCAAAGAACCGCACTCACAGCAAAGAACCGCACTCACAGCAAAGAACCGCACTCACAGCAAAGAACCGCACTCACAGCAAAGAACCGCACTCACAGCAAAGAACCGCTCTCACAGCAAAGAACCGCACTCACAGCAAAGAACCGCTCAGCAGTGGCGCAGATGTAGGCCAGCCCCTCATCGTCCAGCAGAATCTTCTGCACTATGAACGCATGCCCACTGCCCGCCCTAGACCCCTGGACCTCCTACTGCACAGAACCGCTCTCCACCACCCCACATGCCCCAGGAGCACCGCACCTCAGGCAGGCACACTCACAGCGAAGAACCTCTCAGCAGTGGCGCAGATGTAGGCGAGCCCCACGTCGTCCAACAGAATCTTCTGCACTATGAACGTGGCCACCGTCTTGGAGAGCTCCGACCCCATCTCCATGGTTCGCAGACAGAGAGGGATGATCTCCGTTGAGAGGAGGAAGTTCACCATGTCTGTGTCGTCCACCTGCGGGGGGTTGACGGGTTGGGGGGGGGATGCGGAGGGAAACAAAGGGAACCGATCAGCTTGGGGAGCTCTGACCCCATCTCCATAATTCGCAGACACAGAGGAGGATGATCTCCGTTGACAAGAGGAAGTTCACCACGTCCGTGTCGTCCACCTGCGGTGGGGTTGTTGAGGGGGTGGAGTGGGGAACGGGAGGGAATCACGGGGCAGCGATGGGCTTGGAGAGCTCCGACCCCATCTCCATGGTTAGCAGACACAGAGGGATGATCTCCGTTTACAGGAGGAAGTTGACCACGTCCGTGTCGTCCACCTGCAATGTGCATCCCAACAGCGATGCAGGATGAACGGTGAAGGGCGGTGAACAGGAATGGTGCGCGGTGAACGGGCTAGAGCTTAGGAGGTCACTTAATGAGGAGTGAGGAGGACAAACCAGCAATGATCAACGGACTGGATCAGCTGGCTTGCTGCAGCGGACCCAGAACAACAGACCTTGACCTGTGACTTCCTTGACTAGACTTGACAGCCCTTGACCCGCGTTGACCGCCCTTGACTTGTGTTGACTGACCTTGACAAGCGCGCCAATGACGCCCAGGGAGGTGAGGCGCAGGTACTCAAACGGGCGCGTCTTGCTGACCGTGTTCAGGAAGGGGTACAGGTACAGCGGTATGTGCGCTGGTGGGGGGAAATGGGGGAGAGCAACAGAGGGCATGGAGGGTTCGTCTTGCTGACCGTGTTCAGGAATGGGTACAGGTACAGCGGTATGTGCGCTGATTGGGACGGGCGGGGGGGGAGGAAGAAAGCAGAGGGCATGGGAAGGATGGTCTTGCTGTGTTCAGGAAGGGGTACAGGTACAGCGGGATGTGCGCTGATGGGGGGAAACGGGGGAAAGGGGTGAGGGTGGGAGAAGAGGGTCAAAGGAGGGTCCGTGGTGAGGGTAGGGGCACCGAAGCATGTGCGCTGGTGAGGATGCGATGGGTGGCGGAACAAGGTGCAGACAGTACAGAAAAGAGCACAGGGATAGTAGAAGGGGGTCATGCCAAGGCGGGGCGTGGAGGCAGAACAAGGGGGCAAAAGAACGGAGAGTACAGTGCTACTTGGGGGGGGGGGGGGGCGGAGGGAAAGGGAAGGAGGATTTCGAGAATAACAAGGATATGAGTGAGCGAGAGGGGTACCATTGAGGAAGAGCACGCGCGTCTCAGGATGCGAGGCGACGCACTGCAGCACGGCGAGCGCGTTGCACGCGCGATTGGACGCCCCCGCTGTTAGCGTGGGCGGTGATAGCATGGGGTATATCGCCACCACCTCCTGTTGGGCGCACACATGGCATGGCATGGCATGGCATGGCATGGCATGCATGGGATGGGATGGGAGATTAAGGAGGGTGCGTATGAGGCGCGGCGACAGCATGGGGTACACCGCCACCACCTCCTGTTGCATGAGCGCACGCATGGCATGGCATGGCATGGCATGGCACAACAGAGCAAAGGATGAGATATTAGGGTACGTTACGGGCGCCCCGACCGGCGACGAAGGCATGGGGTAGATGGATACCACCTCCTGGTCCATGGGCGCATGCATGGCATGGCATGGTATCGCATGGCATGGCATGGTATCGCATGGCATGGCATGGCACAGCACAGCATGTGATGTGCATGAGGGGATGATAAAGGCGTCACAACAGTGGGCAGCGAGAGCATGGGAGGGATAGATGAGCACGAGGCCAAGGGTAAACAGGCGAGGGGCTTGGATATGTAGAGAAGATGAGTGGGGCTTGTGATTGTATCAAGAGAGCACGTGCCTGTAGAAGCGTTGTGATTGTACCGCAGCTGTGCCATAGAAGCAACGCGAGGTCGGGATACGCCTCCCGTCTCTGGAAAACGTAATCAGGAGCACGCACAAGAGCACGCAATCAGGAAAACGCACGACGGCGCGTTAGAACACGGCGACTTTTGAGGCACCTCAAAAGTTGCGCGGTAAACCATTAGAACGCGGCGCTAATTCTCTCGCAACGCAGACAAAGCTCGAATTGAACACTTTATGCTGTCATCCTAAGTGTCTCACTTTGCTAAGATCCAGCAGCGCGTTCTCCCGCTGCTCGGGAATGCTAAGCTCCAACACCAGCTGCTCCGGAGTAGCCATGGCTACCGAGGTGCCGCGACTAAAGGCGCCGCGAGGCTAAAAAACCTAGATGTCAGTCCACTCAAATAGACTCCGGGAGCCTAGGAGTTCCCGATATAGGTATGCCCCAATATAAGTATCAAGATTGGTCCCTAGATAGGCCTCGTAGGTGATTGAGGAAAATCCTGTGATTTTAGCTCCAGGAGACGGTTTATCAGCAGCGAGAAGCTGCAGATGAGAAAGATAGGAAAGCCACGGCGCCTCTAAAGTATGAACGAATGGAAGCTAAGGGAATAGCACAGCGAGCGATGCGGTCGAAACGTTCGTGGCTGCTCTATTTCGAAAGGAGGCTGCCTCAACAGACAGCGCGCGAGTGAAATATACTCTGCTCGACAAGGTCGAGTCGCGGTTAAAAAACTAAACGCGATGATTCATGGGATTCGAAAGCGACGGATTCCGGAATGATCGGAAATCCCGGAGCGATTTCCCCTTTCCCAAACACGCCGTCATTCTAGGCCAAACTTGGGCTAACTATCATTCCCTCCCGTCCGCCAAGTGCGGGACTGTCTGCCCAGCCTAAAATCTTCGATCAGCGAAAGAGTGCGTGAGTGAGAGGCTCTGGAGTGTGGTGTGAGAAGGGAACCAAGTGTTTCCTATCAGACCTAGAAAATGCCTGATGATGATTCCCAGCCCCCCAGCTTATAATAACGAATAGGAATGCACATGTACAATGCAGCTACACTTCTCTTATTTCCAATCATACATGCCTGGATTACTTAGGCATGCATGTTCCTAAGCTGTACAAACCCCGATGGGGTCACTCTTCATCACTATCGTCATATGCCAGACCAAGGAGACCAGGTCCTTGAGGTTCCGCTGAAGTTGATTTCTCTTCATGGTCTTTTGATGCGGGTTGCTTGGCTTCACATGACGGAAAAGAGCTCATAGAGTCCTTTTGCCTTGATGAGGTTGAGGCAATCGCTGAAGCACCCAGGCTGAACGCTTTGACAGCACCATTTGAAGCTTGCTCGCTTCGTGCCGATGCTTCCGACCCTTGGCTTGAATCAAGTCGAGCCCGTTTTGGCTTCACTTCAACAATTGCTTTAAGAAGTGTCTTTTGCCTGTCATGAGGAGCACATTTGAAGAGCAGATCAATCAGAAAACTTACAAGATAGCTGAAGAATGGACGAACTGTAAAAGAAAATGCAATATCGTCATCAAGCGTTCACCGGGGAATGTTGTAACATGATAGCGCATCCAATAAAGGGTGCCACCACACCTGTTGGGGAGAGATGCTTTAGGTGGTGCTGCGGGGGAGCCTGCAGGGCTAGCCAATGCTGGTGGCTGTGGGCTGTCACTCTTGGATGCTGCTGCGTGCATGGGCCAAGTCAACACCGAAAGATAGGTGGAAGCTATCAAGATAAAAAGCACAGGAGTGCAGAAATGCGTGTGTGGAGTGCAGAAATGCGTGTGTGGAGTGCAGAAATGCGTGTGTGGAGTGCAGACATGCGTGTGTGGAGTGGGGATAAGGATGACGGTTGGAAGGTGGAGGAGGAGGGGGAGGAGGAGGAGGAAGAGGAGGGAGAGGAGGAGAGGAGGAGGAGGAGGAGGAGGAGGAGGAGGAGGAGGAGGAGGAGGAGGAGGAGGAGGTGGAGGAGGAGGAGGAAGGGGCAGGGTGGTCGAGAAAGATAGAGGCAATAACTCAGTGGCAGAAAGGGCAAGTGAAGGTGAGAGAGGAGCGTATCTTAAGAGCAGCGAAGGCCCTTTTCTCTGAGTGCTGCCTTAGCTTCTCCGTCTCTTCCTCTGCGCGGATGTGCTCCCTCAGGTAGTTTAGGTCATCATGGTCCAGTGCTACTTGCACGGCGGGTTCAATCGAAAGGACAGCACAGCACAAGGATGGGGGTTGAGAAGGAAAACGTTTGGTGAATGCGTTGCGGATGAGTGACAGATGCTTAGTTGAGGCCATTGACGAACATTTGGAGCTCGGACCCAGCACAGCTCAATGCTGGCTGGCTTTAGGGTGGTGAAAAAAGTGGAGAAGAGGGTGACGTATCAGATGCCACGAATGATAGAGCGGTGAGGTTCCTCGCGCGTCTAACTCACAGGTACTCAAAGGAGCTCACAGATATTCTCAGCCTTTCCCGGGTCTCACCTCCCCGGCCGTGCAGGTACCCGATGGGCCTCGCCTCCTCCTTCATGAGCGCCATGAGCCGCTTGTACGCCGCTGCGTCGCGGTCCTCCGCGCCCTGCTCCGCCACCGTCACGCGCCCGAACCGACCCACTGCGGGGATCGCGGAACACGAGCGGGCAGGGAGCGAGGCTATAGATTCAGAGTATGTTTTGAGTCGACTCAAAACACGACGCGGTCCTCCGCACCCTGCTCCGCCACCGTCACGCGCCCGAACCGACCCACTGCGGGAATCGCGGCCACAAAACACACGGGTGAGGAAGCCAAGTCATGGGAGGGAGATATGGAATGGTTCGGTTGTAAAGAGGACTTAGGGTAGAGACAAGACAGGTTGACAGGACGGACGTGATGTGCTGGCGAGGCGAGACTACAGGTTTGACGAAGGCTAACGGGATGAATGCAGGAAAATTCGGTTTATATAGAGAGTGGTAAATGACGGAAGGACCTTTCACGAGCGGAAGGTTGGTCGAATCGTTGTCCTCTCGCTTCCCCATGGCTAACGAGTTCAACGACGAAGGCGACGAGATGAGAAAGAAGGACCAAGCTGGCAGGTGAGCGAAGGAGCGACAAGGGAGAAGGCAGCAGAGGCTACTAGGATTGTGTCGGTTGATGGTGCGTGTGGGACGCGGGAGTCGAAGAATGGCAAGCGTGTGGGGAGTAACGAAAGTTGAGACCAAGTGATGGGGATTGCTGCGGCGTGATTATCGGTGTGCCTGACGGAGTGCACTACTGATCGTCAACGGGACCCCAATAACGAATACTCTGATACGTTGGTGTAAACTCGGAATGCGAGCTTTAGCTGGTTTCAGCTGGGTGCGAATCGCTTGTTTTAGCTGTCAAAACTTTCCTGCAAAAATAAAAATATCGGGTCTTGTTCATGACTTTAAGGAATATTTCGACATTCCTTGCCGCGTGCTTCAACATCGCGTACAAGACCAACCATTGTTCGCCTGTTACTGCTAACGGAGCTTCGCCAACCTTCGCGCGCTGCATTTGCCAAACCATGCATCGCTGGCCTGGCCGAGTCGGCCTACGCCTCGGGACTAGCCCAAACCTCAATGCCAGCATCGCACTAGCTAGCTCGCACGCACCGCGTTACCATTCGCATTTTCGCTTATAAGTATTCGCTCATGCATTCGCTCATACTTTGTACTCGCTTGACACTTTAGTGCAATCCTCGCTACCTCGTTCCATTGCACGCGTAACCCTTGGCTATCAGAGCCACTTCCATTTCGAACCGCGCATTTCCGCAACAAGCAATAACCAACCTTTGTTTTTTTTCACTCGAAGGGACTCACGCCCCCAAGCGTACTAGGAGCCGCAGACCTCGCGCTCTCTCGTAAGCGCGTGCAGCCACGACTGCACCTAGCACCTAGATCGGCTGACGCCATTCTGTCAAACATATGTATATCTATGTTATATTTTGGGTAGGCTTAGTGGGGTACACACTGTGGGGTACAACCCCTTAGGTTCATTTTTCTTTGTACCACCATCTCGATAGTCGACATTGATTCATGCCTAGCTTCTAAGATGGTATCTAGAGCATAGGTCTTTAGGACCTAAGATTAGGGCCCACCGATTACTGCATTACCTCACCTACGGCCTTACCTGCCTGCCTGCCTTGCCTGCTGCCCGCGCGCGCCTCGGCTGCACGCGCGCGGCCCTTTTTTTTTTTCCCCGTGCGCGCCACTTAAGCAGCTCGCGCGCAGCCCGTTTTCGGCCCCGCGCGCCACGTCAGCCACCCGCGCAGCCTGCCGCCGGCCCGCGCGCCGTGTAAGCCGCCCGTGCGCAACCCGCTTAGGCCCTGCGCGCCGCGTCCGCCGCCCGTGTAGCCCGTTTTAGGCCCCACACGCCGCGCCAGCCGCCCACGCAGCCTGCCGCCAGCCCGCGCGTCGCCACGAGCAGCCCGCAGCTGCGCGCGCTGCCCGTAGCCACGTGCAACCTGCAGCCTCGTGCAGCAAGCCGCCACACGCAGCCAGCAGCCTCACGCAGCCCTCAGGCCGCTCCTGCCTGCTGCCTACCTGCCTACTGCCTGCCTGCTGCCTGCCTGCTACTTGCTGCCTGCTGCCGCCTGCCTGCAGCCTGCCTGCTGCCTGCCTGCTGCCTGTCTGCTGCTTGCTGCCTGCTGCCGCCTGCCTGCTAGCTGCCTGCTGCCGCCTGCCTGTCGCCTGCCTACCTGCCTGCTTGCTGCCTGCTAGCTGCCTGCTGCCACCTGCCTGCCTGCCTGCTTGCTGCCTGCTGCCGCCTGCCGGCAGCCTGCCTACTGCCTGCCTGCTGCCTGCCTGCTACTTGCTGCCCGCTGCCGCCTGCCTGCCTGCCTACTTGCTGCCTGCTGCCGCCTGCCTGCAGCCTGCCTGCTGCCTGCCTGCTGCTTGCTGCCTACTGCCGCCTGCCTGCTTGCTGCCTACTGCCGCCTGCCTGCTACCTGCCTACTGCCTGCCTGCTGCCTGCTGCCTACTGCCTCCTGCCTTAAGCCAATATGGCGACGCCTAACGTTCTAGCGTTCGAGCCTGACGGTCGTCCCATCGAGTTCACTGTGTGGTTAGACAATCTCCAGCTGTTCCTTCTGACTGATGCCAAAGAGGGTGTCTCACTGTTCGATTACGTCTCTGGCACTGCCGTTATTCCTGCTGCTGATGCTCCTGCTCTAGAACGCTCCCAGTGGCAGACTCGTGATGCTGCTGCACGCCTAGCTATTAGGAACCACCTGCCGATTACTGAGCGAGCGCATTTCAGCCAGCACAGAACTGCTAAAACACTGTACGACGCTGTAGTTGCGCGCTACTCCTCCCCGGCCACTGCAGCCATAGGTCGACTCATGCTACCGTACCTGTTCCCCGATCTTTCCTCGTTCTCCACTGCTGAGGACCTAGTTTCTCACCTATGCGCTACTGACTCTCGCTTTCGTGCCGCCCTTTCAGCCGAGTTCTGCGCCGCAAACCCCCCCCCCGATGTAATTCACTCTCTATTTCCTCGTCACCCGCCTCCCTGACACTCTTAGCTCTGTCAGGGACCACTTCCTAGCGCTAGACCCCACCACTCTCACTGTCGACGACTTCGAGAAGCACCTCCTCGCAGCAGAGAAGAACATCCTCGCTGTAGGTGCTGCTCGTGGCACTCCTCGCTCTCCCCTCTTTGAGGGGTGCTCCCCCTCCCCTCTCACCCCCTCCTACGCCTCTGCAGCTGCTGCTCACGACTACCTTGGTGCTGAGGGGGTCGTAGCTGCTTCCGCTCCTAGTGGGAAGCGTCGCAGCGGCAGGGGCGGCAGGGGTGGTAGGGGCGGTGGGGGTGGCGGTGGAGGTGGCGGTGGTGCAGGCGGCGGGGGAGGTGGAGGTGGTGGGGGTGGTCGTGGGAGTGGAGGCGGTGGAGGTGGTGGTGGGGGCGGCGGAGGCACTGGGAGCGGTGGAGGGGGCAGCAGCGGCGGTGGGGGAGGAGGGAGCGGTAGTGGCATTGGTGGTCAGGGCCAGCAGCAGCCGCAGCAGCAGCAGCAGCAGCAGCAGCAGCAGCATCAGCGCCAGACCCCCACTTCCCAGCAACTTCTTGACTGGTATGCCGGGCGTGGGGCTTCTGGGGGTCCTGGTCGCTGCCCCTATATCATCCGCACAGGTCCCCGAGCTGGTCGCCAGTGCACAGGTTTTCACACTGAGCAGCGCTGCTTCGCTCGGCTTAGCGACGCCTGGCGCGCCAAGTTTCCTGATGCTCCTGAGTTCCCCAACTGGGCAGACTTGCTTAGGCGTGATGTACCTATCTTTGATCTTGACTATGAGGCAATTCTTGCTGCTATGTATGCCTTGTCTGTTAGTGCTGAGGGTGACTGCTACTTGTGTGTGCCGCCGGATCCTGGTATAGCCCCTGGTATAGCCCCTGCAGCACTAGGTGCTTGTGAGTCTGCTCCCCTTGGTACTGCGCTTGCACAGGCTTTGCACACCTTTACACTTGACTCTGGTGCTTCCCGCTGTTTCTTTCGCGACAGTACCACAGTCACTCCCCTCCCTGCACTTGTTCCTGTCTCACTGGCTGACCCCTCTGGGGGCCCAGTGCTTGCACGGTCTTCCACTGTGCTTCCGTGTCCGGCGGTCCCGTCTGGTGAGCTGTCTGGTCTCCACCTCCCCTCGTTCTCTACGAACTTGGTGAGTAACGCTGTCCTCCAGGATGCGGGGGTTGACACCTTCACCCCTGGCCGACAGCGTGTGGCGATTTGCACGTGCTCCCAGACTGGTCGCCACCTGGCCACGTTCGCTCGTGCGCCATGGTCCAGTCTCTACACCCTCACCACTGCGTCACGCTCCACCCCTTTGTCTCCCCAGTTGCACGCGTTTGCTCAGGTAGCTACACAGTGTGAGTGTCGCCGGCTGTCGCACGACACTCTCCTGTGGCACCACCGCCTTGGTCACCCCTCCTTGCCTCGCCTACGCAGCATGCACTCCCGCTTCCTGGTTTCTGGTCTTCCCAGGTCTCTGCCTCCCCTCCCTCCCTCGCCTGCGCCGCCCTGCATTCCCTGCGTCGAGGGGCGGCAGCGCGCCGCTCCTCACTCCTCCTCGTTCCCTCCCACAGAGGCTCCACTGCAGACTCTCCACCAGGACGTGTGGGGCCAAGCCCGCGTCCGTGGACAAGGCCGCGAGCGGTACTTCCTGCTGGTTGTCGACGACTACACGCGCTACACCACGGTCTTCCCCTTGCAGCGCAAGGCGGATGTCCCTGATGTTTTGATCCCCTGGATCCGCGCTACTCGTCTCCAGCTCCGCGAGCGGTTCCAGTCAGACTTTCCTGTCCTGCGTCTGCACTCTGACAGAGGTGGTGAGTTCTCCTCAGACCTCTTGGCAGCCTTCTGTGCGGAGCACGGCATCCGCCAGACTTTCACGCTTCCGGCCTCTCCGCAGCAGAATGGGGTTGCTGAGCACCGCATTGGCTTGGTCATGGAGGTCGCTCGTACCTCCATGATCCATGCGGCTGCCCCCCATTTTCTGTGGCCGTTTGCGGTCCGGTACGCCGCGCATCAGCTCAACCTTTGGCCCCGTGTCTCCTTGCCGGAGACCTCGCCCACACTGCTGTGGACGGGGAAGGTTGGCGACGCGTCGCGTTTCCGGGTCTGGGGTGCTCGTGCCTTTGTCCGCGATACCACCGCGGACAAGCTCTCCCCTCGCGCCATTCCTTGCGTCTTCCTTGGCTTTGTCCCTGACGCGCCTGGCTGGCAGTTTTACGACCCCGCCTCGCGCCGTGTCTTTGCGTCTCAGGACGTCACCTTTGACGAGTCGGTCCCCTTTTACCGCCTCTTCCCCTACCGCACTGCTCCTCGCCCCCCCCCCGCTGCTCTTTCTCGCCCCAAGTTCTCCCCAGGTAGACCCCCCTCCCCGCGCCAGGTCCTGCTCCTTCAGGTGTCTCTCAGGTAGACCCCCCTGCGCCTGCGCCTCTTGAGGTAACTGGTGACTCCGGTCCTGCTGCAAGTGGTGCTGTCCCGGGGGGTGCGGAGCGTGGGGGTGCTGAGTCTGGGGGC